TCTCCATTATTCTGAGCATTTTATTACATTGAAAGAAAATAAATAACAGACATCTTCCACACACCAGAGGTAATGGGATCACTTTGAATACAGCCAGTCAGAAAAGTTGAATGGGACAACTTCCTCAATTTCTGAGGTTCAAGGACTAAGGGCAGGACTAAGGGCAGCACTACAGAAGAGTTGCAGTCTGCTCTTAGATTTTCTTTTTTTCCTGCGAGATCCACATATGCTGAAGTGCTTTTGTCAAACACCAAAAGTACAGATCAAAAGTAGTCTGGACTGGTATGTGTTTACAAATTAAACATGGTTTTCAATGAAAAGAAAGTGGATGCAAAGTATTGAATAATTATATTTACACATTTATTTAGATAAAGTCAACTGGCACTCTTTGTATGAAAGCAGCTATTTTCATTCCAGATATTACTAGATTGCATTCTTTGATTAGAAATCTCAGTTGTCTTGCAATTTTACACATTCACCAAAAGTAGCATTCCAGCAGGAACTTTCTAGAGAAACCTGACAATATTTTGTCTCCATCCAAGATGGCAATAGAGGTGTGATTTATTGGGCAGCACCAAGGTATCTGTGGTAATTTTTATAAAATGGGGTAATTGTTCTTGACATTTTTGTGGTTAGAGTGAGAAAGGTGGAAGCCTGATCAAGAGGCTATTTTATGAAATAATTGTTTTTAATAAGTTTTTTTCTTTTCTTAATACCTTTAAGAAGCTTAGTGTGGTGGATTCTGTATCAGCAGATCTCAGCTCAAAATATGGGTCAAGTAGATTTGTACACATAAGTAATTTTCAGTTTCCCTGAGTATTCACTGGGTTAAATCCTCACTTTCTGGTGATCCCTCAGACATCATACGTATGAACCCTCCCTCTCTAATGGTGAGGTCTATAAACCCAATGTTCTGCTCAAGTTCACCTCTTTTGAGTGAACACTGAACACAGTGTACAATTTTTTTTGTTATGTTGGTCATCTTCACAAGAGTGTTTGTAATTCTTCTCAAGTGTAGTAACATGGTCAACCCTTTATTTAAGGCACTTGAAGAGTGTTTTCATAACAATGTTTTAGCAGAAGTATGATGCACAGATACTAACCCCCAGTGAAAACAGATTAGCAAAGTCAAAATTTAATATTAATAGTGGCTTAATTCTCTTATTAGAAGTGGCTGCTGTATATAGCTGTTTTCAGGAATAAATTTTTATGGTTTGCCTTACTCCACTTGAAGATGATAGAAATAGATCTGGTGTTTCAGCACCACCAAATTATGTTTCCTATATGTTTCAAAGATCCTTTTTCAAACCCTTCTTATTCATAAAATTACTTACCTTCTTTTTGTCCTTGTATCCCAATCCTACATGCATTCAACTGACCATCTACTCCTTCCAGACTCTTTTTCCCATCCCAGCTCAATAGCAGTCACCCCAGCCTCCCTACTCTTTACACACCCAGCTTCAGACCTCCTTTTTCAGGCTTTCTTGACTTACAGCCTCAATGAGGTCTAACTCAATACTTGTTAGAATTTTTGCTGCCCTGGTCATAAGGATTGGGCATCTATGAGAGCTGAGCAGCAGTACGTAAAAATTAGCCTAGGTGTCAGAAACTGGGAAAGGATTCCAGGGAGATGAAGTCTGCAGGTGTAGGAAGGGAATTGTCAGAGAAGAGGGTGTATGATGGATATAGGTTGAGATGTAGCCCTGTACCTTCTTACATCATACTAACCTTATACTAGATGTGTTTTAAATACCTGGGACTTCGTTTTTGCACCTTGTAGGACCCTGCACTTCTAAAATAGTCTATAGACAAGGAAGCCACAAGTCCATACTTGGGTTTTCTGGCGGGGACTTGGTGACAAAAAAGTGTTGTCTCTGATCAGTCATCTCTGTTACTTGTACAGCTAAATAAACCCCAGGGTTTCCTGAAGTTCCAGGTATGGAGATGATGACTTTGCACAGGTTGCTGTGTTTCTTGGTCATCTTATAGACACACTGGAGCCAGCCTTCAAGGATGATTCCAACAAAGAATTTCACTACTGAAAGTGGTCTACAAAGTCACTACACTGTGCTTTTAAAACCTTTATTTTAAAGACCAAGAGAAAAAAAAAGTATTTTCTTTTATCCTTTCCTGAGGCACATTATATAAGAAAAGGAGAATGATAAAGCATAAACAATTGGTTTAATACAGGAAAGGCAAAATTTCCGTCCGTAATATTGTTTTGTTGAGCTGATCTTACTTGGTCCTCTACTTTTGCACCTACCTGTAGAGACATGCAAATCTTACAACTTTATTGTATCTTTATATTCCTGAACCTGTAGTTACGATAAGAAAATCTGTTCTGACCTTAAAATGTACCAGACAATGAACTTAATATATGGCCCACAACTCATATCTTGCTTCATAAAAAAGGTTGACTTGAGAAGGATCAGAGTCTTGGCATGTAGCCTACAGGTAAACACATTGCACAAACAGGAACCTGTGTAAATATGATGACAAAGAGGAAATCTTGCTAACAAACCTGGTCGTGTTTCAGCTATGACAGCATCTGTGACATCTGATGGCTTCCCAACGCCAGCCTGATTTGTTGCCCGCACACGGAACACGTAGCTCACACCTTGTGTCAGGCCACCAATCTGGAGGAACCAAATATATACAGTGGTGTGTTGCAAAACATTGATTTTAATTTCATGCTTATTAAGATCAGTCTGGGTATTTGACAATTCTATTTCCTTTCTTGTTTTGTTTCTTTTCCAGTTATCTTATTTTTTTTATGTTCCACTCCAGAGTGACATGACTAATCTGTGTGACTTGCTCCTTCCTTGCGTGCATGGTTAATGTTCAGGCAGTGTCATTGCTGTCATTGATTTCTTAGCAAAAAGAGCACTGGTTTTAGAACAGGATGTTTTTAATTCATGTACATTGACCTCTGAAACATCATAGTCTTTTACTGCAGATAAATGCTGGCTTTAAAAAATTAAATTATCAGGGTAATAAGTGCCAGCCACACCTATTTAGAAACAAGAGGGGATTTAATAGTACAGATTTAATTGCAGTGACTTGAGGTATTATACTGAAATTATATCACCTGGGGATACTCCTATAAAACATATATTAAAGGATCACACTTTAAAATTACTTCTCTTTCAAATATTCTGAAAAGTATAAAAATAGCAAACCTACTTCAGACTTATCTCTAGAACTGAGATACTGCTGACTACTTATTTCAAAGTCATTTCACAAAATTATGTATCATATGGCCTACTGAGTATTCCTTTAAGTGGAGCCATGATCAGCTCAGGATGATGCTGTCAAAACTGAATTCCCGAAGGTTATGCTGCTATGCCATTATTTGAATCTTCAGCTATTTACCTTCAAGTATTTCTTTTGAAGGGGCTTCTCATTGACACTTCTCCAGCGTTCCTCCTTTGCTTCAGTTTCCTTCATATCAACATAATAACCAACTATGGGACTACGACCAGAATAAACTGGCTCCTTCCACAGTAAAACCAGAGAGTCCTTCCTAACTTCTGTGCATTTGACATCATGGGGTGGCCCTGAAATGTAAAAGTTGGGGTTGTGGTGTCAAAATAAATCCTGAAGGGACCAATGCATATGACTCCAGAACCAAAACCAGACAGAACCGAGAATTGTACACAGAATTTATATAACATTTAGCTCCTCTGTATCATACCTAGACCCAATGTACAAAATACAACCCATGCCAATTAAAAAGACTAACCCAAAACACAATCTAATTGGTTGAGATTGGTATCTTGATCAAATATTCATGAGCTTACAAAATGGACAGATAATCCCAAACTCCGGGAAATAAATTAATTATTAAGCTAATGTGCTGCTTCAAGAACTGGTCTAAAGTCCACTGGAGTCAGTGGAGGTTGTGTTCATTAATTTCAATGAATGGTAAAAGGTCATGGATCTGGCATTGTAGTGATATATTTAGACAAGGGTTACAAGACCCCATTCTTCTCTGCCTTGTATCTTAGACAGGTATTTATGTCTAGGACTTAAACTAGAAAGCAAAGTGCCAGACACAGTAGAGGAACAAAGATGGAAAGATAAAGAAAACTAAAGAATCTGCTTGTAAAATGCTACTAATTCAATAGGGATTATGTAAGGCACTACTCTAATGGTACGAAATCAAAGTGCTGACAATTCAAGACTGGCCATGAACTTCAGTGTCCCAGTGATTCCCCTGCAAAATGCCTGCATTAGATAATCAGTCCCAGAGCACCCTTGGGCTGTGTCCCACTCAGGATCCTACCAGGAACAGCAATGGTCCACTCTTCACATTTGAAGGGCTTGCTGGGTTTGGAGGGTGCCCCAACCCCCGCCAAGTTAGCAGCAGCCACCTGGAACTGGTACACCATGTTTTCCTTCAGGTTTTGGATCTGCAGGATCAATAAGATGGTACTTATAAACTTTGGATTAGGACTTCAGAAGAAAGTCACAATGGGAATTGTTAGAAACATGAGCATGCTTTTAAATTTGCCTGAAGATGGAAGCATTATTGACATCTTAACATGATAATTATCTTGGCTTTTCCTCTGATCAGTGATGGAGCACACATGAGTGATCTTAGCACACTCAAATTGCAAGCTCCTTTTCCTTATTGATAGCCATTTGGTAGCCAGGGAGGAAACAAGGTACTGCTCAACAATCGTCTTAATCTGTCTTGTGGTATGGAGCAAGTTCACTTAAGGCAAGTGTTGTCCTCAGTGTGGGGTGAAACTCAGTCCTGGCACTGCTTTTCATTTCTAAAGCAGCTCAACAAGGTTGTCTCTAAATTGGGTCAAGAACTGATCACAAAAACCAGCTGGCACAGAGCTGGTTTTAGCACCAACAAGCACTGGGATATGTCCCCAAAACCAGTAGGAATTCCATTTATTATGAGGGCCTGACTCACAAAATATCAGACTATGTCAATGAATTTGATGTTTGAAGATGACAATTGGTGCCAGACTAACAAGTAAGTGTACAAGCAATTTTGCAGAGAAGTTTAATAGGGCTAAATAAATTTACTATCATGGAATTCAAACCCTCTGGAGTTAACCTCTTACCCTGTATGCCCTCTCAGTAACAGCTTTAATGTTGGCCTCCTTCCATTTCCCAGGAACTCCATCAACCACTTCCCTATAGTTCACATAGTAGCCGGTGATTTCAGTTCCACCAATGGCTTCAGGTTGTTTCCATCCCAGCACCATCGAGTCACGGACACTCTCGAGTACCACGATGTCATAAGGTGGAGATGGGGCAGCTGTTTCAATGTCAATGACATGTGAGTAGGAGGCAGAATTTCAGGCTTGCTTTCACTTACCGTATTCAGGCGGCTCCTACCCTGCATTTCCTAATTAGGACAATATTTATGTGCTCAAGGGAAGTTTCTGGAGCTGGAATAAGAAATGAAGGATGAAAGCTTCCACAAACCAAATGCAAAGTCCAAACTGCATAGGAATTAGTTTTCAGGATGCCCTGTTTTTGAAAATCAGGCTGATACATAGCAAAAGAATGTGTTGCAATTGCAGCTCTGATGCAAGTGATCAAGACTCACTTTAGTCTGTGAAAAATGAGGAACTAAAACTAGCATTGCAGGACAAGCAAAAACATTTGAGATGCAATGATTTGTTTTCTTTTGCAGAAAGCAAACCCCTTTTCACATTCATTGTGGTTTACTTTTTAAAATAAAAATAGTCTCACATTCTTTCCTCTCAAGAATTTCCTTTACTTGTTTCTTTTTTTCTTTTAGATTTATTTACTGTGCAAATTGTATCATTGCACCCATCATGTGGTCTTACCTTAATGGAAGGCAGAGTGATCATAGGCACTGCAGTATGACCAGAAATGGAATATGTCTGTTACTGGAACTTGCGTTAAAAAAATATGTGACATAATCCTCCTTCTTCAATTTTTTTAACAATACAGAAATAATTCACTTCATCCAAACCCACTTTCTTATTTTTCTTCTGTATCTAGTAGGAAAATGCTTGCCTACATCCAATATGTAACATAACAGTGAAAAGCAATACTTGTGCCCCTAAAGTCATACTGTGGATGGAAATTCCACATCATATATGTTTCCTTTTGTGTGTAATGTTTTATATTGGTGTCAGCTAGGCCTAGGTGCCCTTAATTTGTTTTCTGTTCAACATTTTGTGTCTCACTTCAGAGGCCTAGGAAGGGGTTTAGTTCCTTGGCCAGGTATCAGGACTCAAATGGAATTCAAGCCCCACATATCTTGGACAAAATGAGTGTTTAGGTATTGAAACTTAGAACATGATTTTGTGCATGTGCCTGTAACTTTATAGGTTTTCCTCCTTACATTGCACTATTAGTCAGAGATAGAACACTATTCATTAACACAGTGTATCATCAGGCAAGATGTAGCTTAAGCTAAAATCCACAAAGGATCTTCATATTTTCTAACAGAACACAGATTTTCATGCTTACCATCATAATCAGATTTTGTTTCCTTCCCACATATATAAACCAGAGAACTAGGTAACCAGATTCCTAACAAATTACTGAAGTGATTTAGAAATAATATATCACCTTGGATACGTTAATATTCAGTCAAACAAGCCTTTAAATTACTAACCATATTGATGTGTTTCACTTTCATTAACCACTGAGTTTGTAAAATTATCTCCAATCCCATTACATGCATAATGATCTTAATGGAGAGCTGACCACATAATTATTGGTTTGATAGAAGATACATCACTGTAGAGCATGTCCATGTGTAGCACAGTTGAACAAAAGTTACAGCAGTCTGAAGTGGACCTACCAAAGCAGCAAAATCTATTTATTCATTAATTCTCACCTGTTTCTTTCTTCTTTGTAACTTTTTCCACTGTCAAAAGATCCCCAGGTCGAGACTTACTTGCCTGCTTAGCAGCAACATTTTGTGGTGCAGATGTGACAGCATCCTTAACCATTTCTCTGATGTTCCTGTCTCCTGTTCTCCCCAGTTTGCCACAGCTACTGGGCAGTGTCTTTCTATTAAATTTAGCATTGCATTTTAGCAAAGCATCTGTGTCAAAGATAGGCTGGGAGGCCTCATGCATGCCTTCCCAGCTGGTAGTGCGGTCTGTTAGTCCAGCAGCTTTACCACTCAGTTCAGGACACACACCATGAAGCAATCCTCCCCCTATAATTGCCAGAAAACAGCAAAGACATTTGGATTTAGAACACATTCTATTTTCTTAATTTAGGCAACAGAGTTAAGAAATGCATGCAGTGAACAATACAGCTAAGTATGACAAGTCACTGTGTTTACGCACAAAATGTTAAGCTTGAATTCAAGAAAATTTGAAATGCATAGAATTCCTCTCAGCCTGCTCACAAATAATGCCTTTTAAAATAATGGCTAGTATTCAGAACAGAAAAAAATGTAAAGTTAATAGTATTACTTTGCTACAGTTATTTTAGTCTTAGATCTTCCAGGTCACATTTGTGTTTCTATGAAGATGATCTCACAAAATTGCCCTAGGCCACATGTCTCTGCTTGAAGGTTGAGAGGTATGCAGCTTCAATACAAACGGGAGTGAGGGTGTTGCAGACATACAATTCATTCTAGTCCAATGATCTCATTAATCTTTATGGATTAGTTCAGGCAGTGGCAAACAGAAACAATCCATCAGCACAGGGAGAACACACAGGGTTATAGAAGGTTTACAGACAACATAATGCACTATTAGGTTTAGTCACAGAAACAAATTTCTTAGGAACTGACTATATATAGGATGATGTGCATTCAAGGTGATATACCAGATTACAGAATCAGAATGACATTCCCATTTTCCAGGATACCTATTAAGTGAATTGGCAGTGCTCTCATACAGTGGTTCAAAAGAAACGCCTGAAGAAAAACTGGATGGTGAAGGTGAACAGTCTACAAGAGGGCAGTGAGTGTGAAACTATGTCTGTGAGACTATAGGATCTATGGATAAATTATTATTTATGGACAACATTGTGAATCAAAGCAATTAATTAGTCACTAATAATTACTGAGAACATATTTACTTAATTAATTACCATTGAAAGGGGCAATGGAAAATAGCTTACCAATGGCTGCTTTCACCTCTATAGGCTCTGATTCCTGTGAAAATTCACTGAGTCCTGCTGCATTAACAGCTCTGACTCTGAAAATGTAGTTCTCACCAGTGCTGAGCCCATGGCAAACAAATCTAAAACAAACCAGTCAAGAAATACTTAGGAAGTATTATAAAGGAAATGAAAGTTTTAAGGGGGAAAAGAAAGCATTTCTTCCATGATATTTATCCTGGTTTCTAAAAACCAAGGACAAACCATGACCCCAGCTGCTTATATGAAGGTCAGAGAATGCAGAATTTGGGCATCTCATTCACACAGGAAAGTCAAAACTCATCTCTTTTAAGACACACTATTTCAACACTCTTTCCTTCTTAAGAGTCACACACATTTCTGTGTTACCAGAGGGTCTTCCTTACTTCTGCCTGTGTATAAAATACACACTTCCTAATAGAAAAATGTGACAATCTGCACAGGTAAGGTCTATATTTGCTTCTTGTGGGATATTTTCCTGACACAAGTAAAAGACACATGTAGCACAGGTTCCCATAAATCCCTTCCAATCATAAATGAAAAATTTCAGAGTTCAAAAAAATGACTGGGTATTGTACAGGAGATAAATTATTTTTGTACTTCACTTTCTTGCTTCAATACATGACAATAATCCACGTCAGACAAATTCTTTTAGTTGAAGATGTTTACTTGATAATTTAATTGCCATATTAAAAAAACACTCATAAATTTTCTCTGGCATCTACCCTGAAAACATAAAATTTCCAAAGACAGGAATCGTTTATTTAGGAATAGATTGTGTTATGGAAATTTAATTTTTTTGTTTAAACCCCATTTATTTTTCAATAGGTATCTTAAGTGTATTTTATTCCACGTTACTTTGATTTTTTTTCTGCTTCATAATGTAGTAATAATTGCACTACCAATGCTGATGTCACACAATTGCATATGAAGCAACTACAATGTGGAAAACAAAATCAAAGTTTAATTTTGGTGCGAGAAAAGAAAACCTGAATCAAAATTTTCAAAGTGGAATTTTCCCTACCCATTCTGTCAGACTTTTCCAAATCATTTGCTTTCACCAGGATGTGTGCAGAATTTCAAAATATCAAAATATACTGCATAAGGCAAACTACGAACTGCAGCTAATGCTTTAAGATTGACTCAACCAGAAAATCCAAAGTTAACAGACAGCATATGCCTGACTACATCATATATTATATCACACTGACTAAAAATGCAGTGATAGAAACCTATGCAGTGCACTTGCATCACAATATATAGTAACTCAGAACAATATTTTTAATTCTATGATGATTAAAGGTCACATATCATATTTTAAAACAAGCAGAGAACATGAAACATCACCCACTTTCAATATAACTGCAACATGACTCAAAAATAGATATGAAAGGATGTAATAATGGCACACATAAATATAAATGCAATATAAATGTACTAAAGATTACATAAAGGAAATTGTTGTGTCTGTGTTCAACCAAATGAGATTTTAGGTACTTCTGATATACTAAGCATTCACAATGCCCTTCTAAACAGCAGAGCTGGTCCAGGAGTATTTAGCAGAGTCTTACTTATTGTAATAAGGGTTGTCATGGATAGCATGTACAAATTAGCAGAATCAAGCAGAGATTACTTCTGTATTGACATCAATCCACTTGAGGAAAAGGTTCTGCACTTACTCTTTCGGACTATGAAGATTGCATACTTATTCAAACAAAACAAAATCTGATTTATCTTAGGAAGTTTTAAATTTTGATTATTTTTTTCTGAGTGGAGACCAATCTTTATATTGGTAAGAAATGTGGGTTTGTACCCAATATTTAAGAATGTTAATTAATTTATTGATGATTACAAGTGAAAGAGCAGTCAGAAAGAAATATTTTTAGTGAGATATAGTCCACATGTCCTCCTGACAGTCCAGCTACACAGTCCAGAAATGTTTAGAGCAGTCTTCCAAAACAAAGCACTTTGCTTCCAAACTTATGCAGCTTACTTTTCCACATTTGTAACTTCAGTCATTCCTCAATGTCCTGCTTTTCATCATGCTGATAAGCTGTAAAATAGCTAGACATAGTAATCTGCTTTTCTTTTCTTCATTAGCAATGTCCATATTTCTTTCCCTTTGACTAATTGTTTCTAATATAAGGTTAATTATAATTTCTCTTTGGACAAAACTCACTGTTTGAAATGCTTTTTTACAACTTAAGAGCCTCATATGCAAGAGGAATTCCAGACTGCTGGCTACCACTGAGAGATTAGCTCTGCTACTACTAAAGGCTGGAAAGCAAATTTATCCAGTAAATCAGACACTGGTGACCATAATTTCCAAGTTTTAATATTAATTACCTTGTGCCTTTCACTGGATTGTTGTTACATGGTTCCCAACGACCAGATCCTTCCACACTTGACTCAATGTAGTACCCAACCAGCTCCTTGGCATCTGGAGGCTCTGTCCAAGTGACAACAACTGAAGTATCTGTATTCCTAGTTGGCATAATACGGCCAGGAGCTTTGGGAATATCTGTGGGTGAGAAGCAAAAATAAATGAGTGGCCTGCTGGTTAAAACTTACAAATAAAATAAACATGAAATTCTATTCTTGATTATACTAGCATGACTAGTACAGATTTAACCTTTAAAAAACTGCTCTGATTTAAATTAAATAATCTATCAGGACAGGATATGAGATGTTTTACTGTTCTAAAAAATGTATTCCATGGGCATCCAAATGCTCTGAGAAGTCAATATGAAGTGAACAGAGATCATTTGGGGATTGGATTGAAATCTGCATTGCTGTTTGGGAAAAAATTGGTGATGTAGGTGTAGCTACTGATGGCTTTCTGTATTGAACATCTTGGCTCCTCTTCCAGTGAAAATTGTCTCTGCTTTCGTGCAAGTATTAAATTTTTCACTTGAGTTTAATTTGGCAAACAAGGAAGGTTAGACTCTGCTGATGTCTGGGCTTATTTTCAATAAAGACTCTAAGTAAAACAAAGCATTTTTGTACTTCTTTGAGTTTTCATTTTCTTTTGCTATTTGCAGTCTTTGCAGTTCTTGGCATCATTATATGCAGCTTAATTTCCTTGCTTTGCATCTGTCATTTGACTACATTAAAGGTTGAGCAACCCAAACAAAAATTATTTTAGCTAAAGGGAATAAATCACTGACTGCTTTTCATACACTTGAATTATTTTCTGGGCAGCTACCTGCCTGCAGACAAAACAATTACATCACAAACTGGAAAGTTACCCTGTGCATAATTTAATACACACAATCACACACTTACCGAGTTTGTCATCCACTATGGTGGCTTCAGTTGCTTCTGAGGGTTCACCAATTCCAGCTGAATTGCAGCAGCGAACTCGGAAGCAGTAGGATTTGCCTTCAGACAAATCAAAAACTGCAAAGCGAGGGGACTTCACAGGGATCTCGGTGTTCACCCTTTGCCAGTCCTCTGTGCCAGCAACACACTGCAGTCAAACCCAGAAATCATGTTTAGAACAGAAGTATCTGAAGGCTGAGCATCTCACACAGCAAGGCTTTCTCCCTGGACCACTGAATTCATGTCTGCTGTGGAGAATAGGGAGACACATCTTTTCTTTGGGGCTTTCCACAGAGTGAGCATATTTCAAAGCTTATGAATCTGCCAGATGTTCACTTACTCCAGAAAACATACATGAAAGTTTACTGGTTTTAATATACCAGAGCTAAACCCTCTCCACTGCAAGGAAGTGATGTTATTTGCTGCACCCAGTCTGGACCACTTTCAAAATGAGTTTTGCAGATATTCAACATTATTCTAGGAGCAAAACCCTAACATTACCACTTTGTTCTAGATGCACTTGTGGCACTCTTGGTGTTTTTGGGGTGGATTTCAGAATTAATAATGATTTGACCCTCATTTTCCATTAAAAAAAAAAAAAAGAAATTAAGTTTTGAATTGTTTTTACTTCCTTGCCTAGAAATTCTACATACCATGATCACTTATACCACTAACACTAGTGATTGATTTTTTGCTTTGATTTACATTAAGTATAATTTCAAGTAAATGTTTCTGGTTTCTGAGGGATTAAAATTCTTATCTGACTATGTGACATTAGTGCTGAATACTCAGCATGCAATCAATTATTAAAAAACTTTCTTATGTGAAACTCAAAATTCATATATTCACCCTCTCTAAGGCTGTTGCTAAGAGAAACTAATTTATTTAGACAAGACTTTGTATGAGAGATGGAAAACACATAATGGGAAGATATTTATGTCTCCCTTGATGACACCTCTAGACTGATAGGAAAAAACATGGATAAAAAAAGTTTATGAGCCAAGAGATGCTAGTAGAAAGGGTGATGGTGTGAAGAATTTTCTAAGATAGCAGCCATGCAAAAACACCTCAGGAAAGCAGGTGAAATTAAAACTGATTCTGAAAAATTAATTAAAAATTAAAACTGAAATTCAATCTGATTCTGCTCAAGGAGATCAGAACAGAAATTTTGTGGTCTTTGTTGAGTTGGTAGAGCAAATGGAAAGCTAATGCAGAGGATGAACATGAAAAGGCAGCTGGAATAGAAAGTGCTGATGACAAGAAACTTGCAAAATGCTTCCATCCAAAATGTTAGCAATCTGTCCTTCCAGACACGCTTCATGTATGCAAATTTTATATGTATAATTAAATATATAATATCATATATGTCTATAATATATATTAATGAGATACATATACATAAAAATAAACATGCATTTTATATGTGTGTGTATATTTATATATATATACACATAATCACTTGACTTTGCTCTGTGCTTTCACATTATAGAAGGAGTTTTGTTCTCTCTACTCCAGGTAGGTCAATGACACAATTCAAGAACAATATTAGTGGGTGTGACACATTCTTCATTTACTTTCCTATTTCCCATCTTTCTTTTATTCCTAGTTTATCTTAATTTACAGTTTGACAGTTATTTTGATGGACTTCTAATCCTTGCCCTAATTTGCAAGTCTCAGACAGAAATGAGAGTTAGCCAGAGGTCCAGAAGAGATGAACAAAACAAATGTAAACTATTGCCACAGCAAGATTCTGATTTTGTCCAATTTTACCTTTTCCACAAAGTACATGATACCCTCATGGCCCCGCTGTCCTGGAGGTTTCCAGCTAAGCACAACATAGTTCTTGGTGGCCTCAATAACTTGGAGGTCTGTGGGTGGACCAGGAACAACACCCTCTGAAGGACAGGGAAGAATAGGAAAGGGAACTTGGATTTAATTCTTCCATTTTTGTATCAGAATTAGCATCATAATTAAACAATAGGAGTATCATTATACCTCAGCACTTCATTTTTTTTTAATGTAGAGTTAAAAGTTTTCTAAATATTTGGTTTAAATTTCCTTCTTTTAATTCTAAGCATGATTTCATTAGGTCCTGAATAATGAAACTTCACCTCAAAAAACAAGTTATTGAATTATTCAAGGTCAAGTGACTCTCAGAACAACAAATTTTGGGTGTGTGCCAAAGTCCACTTCACTCAGAGCTTTCCTAATTACTCAACCAGCTTCACATTAGACATTTGTAGGCAAAAGGGCTGTGTTTACCTGCAGGTTCTTCCTCAGTCACAATAATCTGTCCAGTCCAAGGAGCAGAAGGGTGACCTGAAACAAATGTCAGAGATAAAACAATGAGAACAATCAGAAAACTGACTCTTTTGTGGTTCAGAACAATTGCAAGATCCCAATGAGCTCAATTTTTGGTTAATGCTGTGGCTGTTGCCCATGTAGCAAGCTAGTTACCCAGGCTATTGAGAGCAGCTCAGCATTTAACAGCTAGAAAACTTAATCCACTGAAACATCTATTCCTTCCTAAAATGTCACTGAAGTCTCCTAGGTGACAAGGTATTTAGTTCACTCAGCTCATCATTTTCAGAGAACTAATTTCAGCTTTATTTCCATCCTCTATCCCTTTGGTTTAACAGTTCACTTATTAAAGGAGCATCCAAATTCCTGCAGGCTGCATCTTGTCTCTTTTTAAGTGCTTTCTCTCATATTACCAGCTTGTAAATCATGGGTCACAGTCACAAACAGCAACAGCTCAGCCTGACTCAGCATGTCTACTTGATAAACTTGGGTGTCTCCCTGAGTAACCAATATGTTATCACACTATTGCAGTTATGCAGCTTTCAGGTCAGTGCACTTTCAGAGATAATTTTTGCAAACACTGATCTCCGCCTCCATGTTGTTCACCTTACATTGGCTGATCTGATTTGGAGATGAAAGAAGAGAGGAAGCAAGTGGGGAGAAAAATGATGAGGGATGAGAGCAAGAGATATAACAGGAATAGAGCACCAAACCCAGACTTCACCTTCTGTGACAGCTTCCATGCTGCTCATTGAGAAGAAGAGCCCTCTGCCCTCCCCAGGCAGGGTTTCACATGTCTGACTGAGTGCAATTTGGCAGTGCCAAATCTCCTTCCTCTAGCCTTTTGTTTTATCTTGAATGGAAACCTAGATTATCTGGCTGCAGCACTGTACACAGTAGCTCATACAAGCTGGGACCGTGGGAGCACTGTAGCTTTGTATCCCTTCACCATTTTAAATTGCAAAATCCCAGAAACATGTAGAAATAGATTTTTTAATAGAAGTATAAATTTATTTTAGGCATGTGATTATGCCATATGCATAGAGCGGTGGTTTTGGAAGCAAAATGTCTGAGACATTGTGAGGCCACAGGAGAAATATCCTTGACTTGTAAAATGCTAACCTTAAAGCAGAGAGCCTGGGATCTGTTGGGCTGTCCTGGTGTCGTTCTGGTTATTGCAAGACTTGGATTGTCACACGAGAACAGAATCAGCCACCCTTGTCTGTGGCTCAGAGAGAGACTATTCACAGGATCTGTTTAGCTATTTTATTGGCTGAACAAAAGCAAATCTCTCTAGGCAATTAAACTCTCCTGTGCCCTTTCTGCCCCTTTCTGCAAGTTTGAAGCATAGCACCGCAGTCAGCCAAAGCTATTTCAGCAGATAGAACACAGTGCAAAGAGCACCGAGATTATTTCTTCTTGGCAAAGCTGTCACCAAAGAATATTTTGGCTTTACATTGCTCCCTCTGGTGGGATTTTGAAGGCTTGTGAGTTGATAGTCCTATTTTTTTTTTTTTTTTAATGAGTTGAGACCTCTTAAACCTCTCATGCAACCTGTAAAAAGCACATCTTACTTCTAAGCCTGGCTCTGTCTGCAGGATCCAGAGCAGCCACAGGCTCTGACACCCGGGATGGCAGGCTGACACCAGCTTTGTTCACAGCTCGGACTCGGAAAATATAGGAACGGCCTTCAATCAGACCAGTGACAGGAAAACGAGCAAACTTCACAGGATTCTCATTGCACTGGGTCCAGTGGGAGGTGCCAACCTCACACCTGAAAAACACAAACAGCAAGAGCAGTGCTGGGAAGGGGAAAACATGGACTCAGGGCACCCCCACGCCTTGGCAGCTTCGCCATCTGTTCGTGATCATTGGCTGGCCTGCGCCAGTTTCCTCAGCAGAATTGTGTAGTGGTGACATCAAAGCAGCTGCACCAAGGCGTCAGGCTGAAGTACCAGCTGGGCATGCACTAAATCCCTCACAGCTGCACCCTTCTTTCCTGAACTGAAAAAGCAATAAGAGCACACTCGCTTCACTGTTTAAACCCCCCAAGCATGCTTAGGGAGCGTCAGCTTTAGCTTACTTGAAGGGACAGGAAATATGCAGCCCTTGCAGTTGCCAGAAGGACACTGCTTCAGTGCACAATGCTGCACTGTCCATCCCACAAGGTGCTGGGCTTCATGGGGTGCAGAATCCCCCACTGTGAGTTCTGGGAGCAGCCCAGCACTAAGATAGCTGTGAAGGGGGTTAAAGTGGGTTATGGCAGAACGAAAATAGGACAAATACCCACTTCAACTCAGGGAGGCAGGAGAAGCCTGTGGTGATGGCTTCCCTGTATCCAGCAACATGGTCAACAGAAGCATGACCTTTCAGCTTGGAAGAGATATCTGGTGAGGTAGCTACCAAGGAAAAGGTTACAGTTGCTACCCAGATTTCTTGGTACATGCAAGAATCTCTCCTGACAATTGTTACCATCCCACTCAGGGTGGTTTTGTAGCTCTTGTGTCTGCTTGGAGTGAGAGGTGCCCAAGCTTTGCTTCTACCATTAGCACAGATCAGTCCTGCTGGCTCAAGTCATGCCCTCAACTCCACAAGGCAGTTAGGGGCTACCCTGCCTGAATATTTGGCTCCTTAAATACCTTTAGTGGGATCCAACACTGGACAGCAGTAACACAGCTTTGAATTTGGGAGCAAATGCAGAATAAACAAGGTGAACACAACTGAAACAGCAAAATGCCATTTCTCTTGCATTTACTTTCAGTGCTAGCATCCCTCAATAGCCTAGTTTTAAAATGAGATATCGTTCAGAGTCTAGTCCTGACTTTTGTTTAGGATTTTTCAATGAATGTTAAAGAGCCATAGCTTAGATCTAGCAGAGCATAGTTACAGCAGTGACTGGTACTCAAAAGTTATCAAAACAGTAAAGTTGTATTTGAGTGTTAGATTTATTTCACAAAGCAATAACCTCTTTTTACAGAGATATACTTTATGCATATTCAAAGGCATAACATAATGGCATATATATATATATATATATATATCTTTGAGTGCTTTTTACATGCATTTGAATAAGCCCGAGGAACCTCATATGGTGAAGTTATTATTAATGGAATTCAAACAAATATTACCAGCACTGAAAATCACTGCAAGTCTCAAAATACTGACTTAATTTCTTAAATCACAGGCTTCTAGGATCCTGACACTGTGTGTAACACAAGGAGGGTTCATATTTTTAAAAGTAATTTCCATGAATCTTGTGAATCTAAGAGCTGGAATAACAACAGCATTTGGGAAATAAATCCAAGTCCCTTTGAGATAGTATTTTGCTTTCTGGTGCATAGTAACTATTAGGAGAGAGGCAAGAAAGCCCTGGTACTGAAGGAGCCACAGCTGCATGATGCAGAAGAGCTTCCCAACACTACAAAATCCTGAGGCCTCTCAAGCCTCAGAGGAAGCAGCAAGGGTTGAGCTGTGCAGATCTGTCAAGAATCCTTTCTATGCAATTAAATTAAGCAAGATGTGATTATTTCCATGACAAAACAAAACAAAACAAAACAAAATCAATTTTCTTCTGGCCAGCAGCGAGAATGAAAATAATAAACTACTTCTTTTAGCTCATGCTTTTAAATGTGTCTTTAGTTTTTTGAGTTGGAATGAGCAGCAATACTCAATACTGAATTCTCCAGTCCTGCACACTCACTGACCTGTCAATGAAATACCCAAGGATGGGGTTTCCTCCATCGACAGCAGGTTGCTTCCAGGAGACAATGACATAATCTTTGTTGGCATCTAAGCACTGCACATCTAGTGGTGCACCAGGGGCTCCAGGGATTTCAGCATCAGCATCTATGAGGATGGAGAAATATGTTTGCAAATATGAATCACAGTTCTTTCACAATTATTAATCATTAAGGACCAAATTATGTTCCTGGTGACCTCAAAAAAGTTTTTGCTTTTATGTTGCTAGTGTTTTTCTCAGTTTTGGCTTTCCTTTGCAACATTTACAAATGTTACTGCAAATGTAATTCACCTAGACATTTTAAATAGAATTAGTACCATGCATATTCTGGTTAGGGAGCTGTGAGAGACAATGTTGAACTAAAAACATGGGAGGCAGGCAATAGTTGAATTAAAACTATTCACCCACTGGATATAACAATACTGAATTAAATATCTTATCCCCACTTAGAGTCCTTCATTGTTTGATTTTGGTTGGCTATGAACTGCAAAGGTACCAAAACCTTTTGAAGTTTAATTACATTACATGCACATTATCCCTGTGGAATAGAAATGTCATAAGGATAACCACATTATTCCTTTCTAGTGCTTACCACAAATCTGGGACTGCTGGGGTCAAAAGGCCTTGACTCGTGCATCAGCTTCTGGACAAGTCTATCTAAAGCTTTAGAGCATAATGCTGGGCACTGGGTAATTTTTACTGTTTACTAAGCATCTGATTTGTGAGATAGTACAATCTTCATGTAGAGAAAAATAACCTTTGCAGGAAGATTCTGTGAAAGACTTTCAAATAAGAGATGTTGTTTCTCTGCAGGATAACATCAATTTGTACAATTGAGAGCGACCTCAAAAGAAGACCTAAGAGTTATATACCTGAATAAAAAAATCTTGCTAATAAATACTATTAATACATTCCATATAAACCTGAGTTCTCAAAGAGGTTTAATGTTTCAAGGCATTACAGGGTTTTGGTTTACAGTATACAGTAATCCAGATTTTCCCTGATTTTGACTTTCATTAAAAAATGCCTTATTAGAAAATTTAATATGCTTCATTAAGTAAAACAGTAGTCTTCCTAAAAAAAAAAAAGAAAATCCCAGCAACAATTTGGAGAGTCTTCTCTTATAGGCAGAGTAACATCACATGGAGCTTTTGAAGCTCTGCCAATGTTGCCGAGTGCAGGTTCTCATTACAGATAACTCGATGCGTTTTTAAAAATGGTAACATACAGAGTAAACCATCTAGTTAACATCACAGAATACTAAGAACATTAATATAATAACAAAATGTCTTCAGTGACCTCTTTATGACAGGTTTTAATTGCCTGTATTTACCACTTGACAACGTGAGACAACAGTTTCTTTCCAAGACAGAGTGGGAAACAGCTGGGAGAACCACCACTGCTGATCAGCCTCTAGCAGGCTAGGATTTCATCCCTGGTGGCTTGCTGACAAATGATGACCTGTAGCCATGGTAGAGGAGTCACACATGCTCTGGAAGCCCATCTGAATGTGTAACATTATGAGCCTCCCTTCCATTGATACACTGATTCCTGTGACACAAAAAGACAACTGCCCCAGCTTAAATACCAGAGCTGCCATTTAAATAAAAGCTGGCTACAGTAGAGGAAGAGCAATGAAGAATACAGTAGCCAGCCAAGATTGTGGGGACCATTTAAATAGTAATGTAGAATATAATTAATGTAGATAGAAATTGGTAAACACACTCATTGTCTAGGAAGATACTCTACCGAAAGGAGTAGTAGGTTCAGTCAGGTCACACCTGTGTTGCCAGATGTAATAGGATTGAGGGTAATCATTTATTTATATGGCAGCACAATGTAAAACAAATGAAGAAAGATGTCCTATTTCTTGTCACAGAAGCTCATTTCAATAGGCTCTTTCTTCAGGTGCTGAAAACGTCTGCTTCAGTTGTATTTTCTGGGCAGGTTGTTGTCTCACACAGTTCTGCTGGACATGGCAACAAGGAGCCATTCTGGCAATGGTCTCAGAGCCAAGAATTTCCAGAGCTTTTTGAATTAGCATTACACACTTCAGCTGCTTTTAGCAGCTGGGACAGATATAGAATCAGCACACAACATGATAGCCACATCTCCTCTTAAAGAAAAAATTCTCAATGGATATTCAGTGAAGTTTTTGATGGTACAAGCAAACAACATTCACAAAAATTACATTTTAATTCTACTCTTCACTGCATTACTTCAGAGAATCACACAGTGGTTGAGATTGGCAGACAGGTCCAGGTATTTCCTAGTTTGGCCCCTGGCTCAAAGCAGAGTCAGCCAGAGCTGGTTGCCCAGGGCCATGTCAAATCAGATTTTTTCTGTCTTCAGGGACTGGGACTGCACAGCCTGTCTGGGTAACCTGTTCCAGTGTTTTCTTTGCTCCTTTCTATCAGGTACAAATGGATAAACTACCCCCATGATCTCTCTTTTCCAGGCTCAACAGTCACAGCTTTCTCAGCTTTTCCTCATACGAAAGATGTTTCAAGCTATAAATCACCTTCACATCCCTTCAGTGGCCTCACTTCAGTGACCCCATGTCTCTTTTGTAGAATTTGATCTAGCACTCTAGATGAGCCCCACCAGTGCTGCATAGATGGCAAGGATCACCTCCACAGCCTCCTGGCAATGCTTTTCCAAATGCAGCCCAGGTTGCCACTGTCTTTGAGACAAAGGCACACGTTCACATTGGTCCACCAGGATCCTTCCTGAAAAGCACCTCTCCAGACAGACATCAGCTTATTCTGCTGCATGAGATTATGCTTCTCCAGCTGCAGATCTTTGCGTTTCCATTCCACTGTATTTTTTCCTGCAGTGTGCATTAGAAAGAACCCCTCAAACTGAACAGAAAATCTTGACAAAAATAGTGCAGTTTAGCTTGCAGTGGGATGGTTACAAAAAAGCATTTGTAACTTATTATGTGCATTTTCCCTCCTTATGACTGATGTTCAGCACTCTGAACATAACACCCTAAATTTCCTCCTCAGAATGTTAATGGAGTTTAGAAATCTTCGGGCACATGACACCAAAGCCTGACGTACGCATGGATTTCTTTCAGAGATAACAACTGGAATGTAAATTGCTAGAATCTATCAATAGAAAATAATTATTCTATTGTGATGGGGGGTGAGAAGGGGAGTGGGGGGAAGCACCTCACGTATCTGATTTTGGGAAGATGTTATCCTTATCTCTGTAGTGAGTTTTGTGCACAACACTGTGTCCTACCTCGAACAAAGACATAACCACTGTACTCTTCATAGTACTCTCCCATCGCCACTCGGAGCGTGTAAAGACCTTCATCTTCCTTGTTTGCATGAGTCAGTGTCAAAGAAGCTCGCTCCCCGCTCCACTGCATCTGGACCCATTTGGATGGTGTAATAAGAACACCTAGGAATCAGAGAAGTTCATGATGAGCACCAGCAGGATCTACTGAGGAATAGATTCTGAATATGGAGAATATATTGGGATAGACTGGAAATACAAAAGAGATCACTCTTATTAGACAACATTCTGTCTTTGAAAACAGTCATAAATTACATTTAATTCTGCTCTTCTTACAACTCTGTCCTTGATTTCAAAGCATTACTTCAGAAAGCAATAGTTTTTTATATATCAGCTGCTACAAAACACTGTGCAAATGCATAAAAACCATCTTGGCATACAAATAAATAAATAGTAAAAGCTACATGAGCTCTATAAATGGACCACATAGATGTTGGCTTCTAATGCTTCTAATGCTTCTAATTCAGATTTTTTTTTAAGAAATAAAAAATCCCTAGAAGACATTTTCATAGTGCTTTGTCAATTTTCTGTGGTTTCACATCAAAATGCTAAATTATGAAACTATTCTAGTTGAAAAAGAGAAAATATCATTGGAAAATGTGAGAAAGTGAAGACCAAATCATAATATTGACATAAGCTGAAATAAATAAAGATTTACATGAAAGAAGTTTATATTTCTTCTTTTCAAACATTCTCACCATTTCTGTACCACTCAACGTCTGGTTTGAAGCGCTTGATATCAGGATTGATGACAACTGTGCAGCCCAGACTCATTGTTTCACCTTCTCTCCCAAAGGCTACATCAAACTTGTCAACAAAGCTGATTTCAAACCTGGAAGCATAGCCATGAGGAGTAACAGCAACTGTATAAGATAAAAAAAAAAATCTGGTTTTCTTTCTTTCTGTGAAAAGAGTAGGAAGAAAAAGTACTCAGTCATTATGAATACAGTCCCAGGTAAAGTTCAAGGTATAAACAGGAACAATATGTATATTAAGTCATCATCTTCAGAGGCAATTGCAGGATAATGCAAGTCCTTTCTATTGCAGAGAATTGACTATTTCTTGATTCGTACAACTCCAGTGCTCACAGCTACTTCATTTTAGCAGGGAGAGGCTTCTGCAGAATTTAGTTTCAGAATTTTCAAAATTTCTACGCCAGTGTTTTATCCTAAGGTTTGTTTTATAACTTAAAAAAACTTCTATTTGTGATCAATTATTTGTTTGGGTCAAGTGGATCTTTAGCTTATATAGTTATTTTCTTTCCCCATTTTAACTCCTTGCTCTATCTCAGAGAAGTCATGTGTCCACTTAGCCTTTGTTTTTGTAAGCTAATAAGCCTTTGTGGCTACTATTATTAATATAATAGGTAGCCTGTTTCTATTCTTGTTCCTGAATTTATCTTTCCGGATGCTGAGTGTCCCAAGTGGTGAAGTTTTCCAGGCAGAACATCCTGAGTGCCTTTCACTTGTACTGTACATACATAGCAGAGGGCCTTCCATGTTTGTTTTGGAAACAGCTGAGCTGATAAAAACTAAGGTCACACTCTACTCAACTAGCCTTTACTGATAACTTTCTCTCTTCCTGTGATCAATGAATATATGCAAATAATGACATTTCTTTCCCATAAAGAAGTGCTAGATCCCAAATTTTATTGGAAATATATAGAAGTCTCATCTGTCAAACATTTCATGGGGTTCCTAGGGCACCTTCACCCACACGGCATATGTGGGCAGATTGTCTTATTATCATGGAAGCATGGATGCCGTATTGTTAAAATGTGAGGTTCTCAGGTAAAATAAACTACAGTTTTTACTTTGAGTTATCCCAAAATAGTCTAATTGGGTTCTGGAAACCCAGTTGTGAAACCCAACTTATGAAACCACATAAGCAGCAGATAACAATTAAGTCACCTACTCTGTGTAGGCACAGGCTTCCTCATGCCATGTTTTACATATTGCAAAAGAGGAAGTGGTTCTCTCTTTGACAGATTCTATTTCATAGTGAAGTGAAATATTAACAGGACATTTCTTATATAATCCAATAGACCTAGAAGGCAATGCCATTTCCCTCTGCTAATGAGGCTAACACCATCCCAAATTGTAAAGCTCCACACCCTTGTAGATCAGACCTGCTTCTTTTTAAAAAAAATGTTACTAAATATTCTGCTCAGTCATGTGTCATGGTGTCACAACTATAATTGCAAGTGTCAAAGAAACACATTGTAACTTACATGGAGACAGGGAAAGATTTCTAGCATGCAAAAGACTTGCATCAATTTCTCCTTTGTACCCTAAAAAAAAAAAGACAAAACTGGTCACTACCACCAAGAGGCAAAGGCTCTGTGAGCCACAAAACCAAAACTGGCAATGTGCATCTTAATAAGAAAAAAACTTTGAAGGAAATGTTTTGCAACCTACTTTTTACCACGAGGGAAGCATAAACCGACACTTCTCCTTTAACATTCATAGCAGAAGCATGGTACTGGGCAGTGTCATCAAATTCACATCTGAAATGATAAAAATTATTAGGCAGAGCAACCAATTGCTCCTTGGCATAGCCTCTCTGGTGTTTTACATTAAGAAAACCCTCAGAAATCTGGGTAAAATCTATAAAGTAAAAGCTTGGGAGACAGACACACTGGACACTGGACTGATTGTAGCCATTAGGTTTTCATCAATGTTAAACCCCAGTGTTTGAAATAAATGTCTCTTTTCAAATATCACTTACAGATTTGAATCTGGGAATACAGCATAAGTAGGAAAAAAAATCTGATAATATTCCTTGCTAATTTACTGTCTTCTACGAAGAGATGCCTAATATGAAACTTGTAGCATGGTAGGTTTCATAAAATATTTTCAAAGGGTATCTGCCAGTAAAAAAAATGTCAAATACAGATTGTTGTTGATTAGGACTTATGTTTTCAATATTTTTAATGCAAAGGGAGTGCAAAGATTTCCTGCTCTTTGATGAGTACTCTAAAAGACCTTTCTTGTATATAACGAGGACATCTCAGTTCTGTTCCTCATTTCAGTAAGAATTGTGAACTTTGCTATATTTGAAAAACAGTTAACTCACATATTTTTACATGTTTAATTGTACTCATCAAGACAGAAAAAGTAATCATAGGTGTCCCACTTTTCTGACTCTGCCATAAATAGAATAACTAGATAAATAATCCAGATAAATAACTCGGGTAAATTGCATGTCCTCTACTGAGGTAAATCAGAACTGCTTCAACATTTAGAAGACAGCATTCACCACAGTTGATATCTCTGATATTACCTGACTTGATATCTCTTACATCCCTAAGAGGTATGTTCACATTTTGCAGGTCTTATTCTATAGCAACATTTCAGCTAAAGCTGTTTGTTAAATCATTTAATATTTCCTTACTCAGTAATCTCCAGGGAATGCAGCCCATATCGACTTTGAATTATATACTTGCCAGGGTGAGCCTGTACATCAATGGGCACATTATTCTTGTACCTATGGAAAAGCAAAGAAGCAGTTACATCACAAAGAGAAGTCATTCTATACTTTAAAAGGTCAGGTGCTTGATATTTGAAGTAGAACATCAGCTTCTGCATGTTTCTCCTTGATAAACTGTAGTCTAACTCCCTGGGAATACATTGCATATCTTTGGAAGTGTAACCTTTCTCTCTTTCTCTTTGACTTGTCCCAGGTAGATTTTATTCTCAAATTAAAAGAAGAAAATAGTCTTGAGTGGGATGAAAATCAGTTCATATTACCACAAACTTCATGTTGCTACTTGTAAAAGAAAGGAGGAGTCACATGAGCAACATCTCAGTGTTTTGTAAATGGCAAATAAAAATTTTGTAGCCTCCTTACTTACTAGCTATCATAAACATTTTGTTTGGTATGCATATTTGACCTACTTTTAAAACCTTTATATACACAAAAATGTCAGGTAGAAAGTTAACTTTTTTGTTTACTTGCAACTTAACAGGGTTAGACTGGAATATACTATGAGTCCTTTCTGGCACAGGTGTATCTTCTGGTAGGAAAGGTTTACTGTTCAAAATTCCCAGTTGTTCAGGTTTGAAGGAATAAATGAACCAGTGCTGATCACTGGTGAGCTGGTACGGCTAATTTCAGAATTTATACAAACACCTTGAGACTCTCATAGTGGAAGAACAGTGGTTCATGACAAAATCTTCCTCTTCAATTGTTGCATAAAATGCCACTTGTGGTGTAACCAAGTAAATGTTTGTCTGAATCTTGTCTTAAGCAGGCACTGGAAATATGGAAAAAACTGGCAATAGAAGTCTAATAAATAAATAAATTGCACTTTGAATTGTATACAGTACATTTGGCATTCACTTGATGTCCATAAGGAAAAAATGTTTCCTAAGAGAGTGTTTTACTGTACATAGCTTCTTCCCTGTTCTTCATAAGGTGTATATACATAAAGTGAAATGATAAAGGAGGATAGATAAAAGTACCTTCATCTTTTACTCTGATGTAGCTTAAATAAATCTTTCTTCTCACAACAGATAACCAGACAAAGAAGTTGCTTCTTCATTTCAGATTTTATATTTTAAACCTTTTGTGATTTTCAGTCAGGATAGGGAAGTGGCCTGGTGTCAGTGCATTGCCTCACTTCACCAAACAAATCAGTAATTAGCCATTTTATTTTCACTAAGAATATTATTGAATATATTTCAAGATGAAGCTATATCCACAATAAATCTGAAAAGTGCCTTTCAGCACCATCAGCATTGTACAATAAAGAATATTTCCCTGGCTAAAAATATTTGGGCATAGTAATACACCAAGAGTTTTCCAAATGCTTAAGTGAGTAAGAACCCTAATGCCTTTCATCCTCATCTTCCTCTCAGAAAAATGTCTATGAAAAGGGACTCAATGCAGGGCAGTACTCTCTATTCTGCACATCAATCATTTGCAAAGATGCCTGACCTCATTACTCTATTATCCTGGCTTAGGCAAAGAATAATACATGAATCCAGCAAGAGTAATACATTCACCATGACTCTTCATCTCATCTGTGAGCTGGTGCCTCCCAGACTGAACTGCCTGAGAACATCAGGGCATTTTTATATTACTTCTAGTGTGTAAAATATTTTAGAAAACAGAATAATGCCATCAGTTCCAGGGTATATGAAATTGTGTAAACAGGACTTAACAACACAGTATCTTTAAATTTTCTCCAAAGGGCTGGGCAATTCTTGGATCCTGTGGCAGCAAAGTTGTTTGGTTGCATGGGGTGCTATGCAGAAAAAAGCTTTTACTGGGTCATGCCAGTAGCAAGAAGACTTTCACGTCTTTTGTCTTCATTATCAGTTAGTAAAAAGTAATTGATTCAATTTTTGTTTATTTATATTCATCTATAGAAGACTAGGACTCGTGCTAGAAGGACCACTTGTTATTTCTGGAAATGCAAATTCCAGAGCAGCCAAGTCATTAGCTAATGTGGGACTGCAACCTCCCACTGTCATTAGCCACTGATAATTTATGCTTTCTGCTACTGGTTTCAAATGTCCTGGGTTTTCCATATGCCTTTTTTTTTTCCAGGGGAGTCAGAACAGCTGCATCAGGCAGGCTTCCTTTAGAGAAAGTCCATAAAGCTTTATAGTTTTTCAGGCATAGCATGAAAAGGTCTTCACTGCTTACATAAAGAATGACTGTAATACTCTACTGACATTTTGTTAGAAAGGCTGAATGAAAGCTGACAGATCCAGGTCAGCACTGTTCTATATCTTAGAGCAAAGACACCTGCTGAAAAGGATGTGATCTCTTTTTTTTTTTTTTTTTTTTTTTTTTTTTTTTTTTTTTTTTTTTTTTTTTTTTTTTTTTTTTTTTTTTTCATTAGTAGCCTGTGGCAAACTGAAACCCCTTTGGAATTCAGATGTACAGTAAAATGATGTATTAATTTCCACCATCCACATTTAGCACTTAGATGAAAGGCTGGTTCACAGCGAGAGCAAAGACAGACAGCTGAAGGCTCAGTTTAACCATGTCAGGTTTTGGGGATAAGGTGAATCTCAGCCAAAGTGAAAATGACCCAGCTCTTGAATTCTTGGGCAGGATTCAGGTTACAGAGCTGGATTGCAGCCATGAGTGTGGCTGACCATTGCTTATATCCAGCTGAGTCCAGATCTGAAGGGTTTGTCTGGAATCCTCTCCAGATGGAATGTGAACACAGGGCACTTGTAACCCTTACAGGATGGGAAAACTGTGTCCATGCAGAGCCTGGCTGTCAGAGTCCCAGGAGAGAGATCAGTGACTTTGTGGACTCAGTCTGGCCTATTAATATACCTCTTAATAACAATTTTTGACAAGCTCTGAGATTAAGGTTTTTAAGACCTAAATAAATGTAGAGTCCCTTAAGCAATTCAATTAACAAATTGCAATATATTATTATTACATAGCATTATAATACAATGGATGTTTCCCTTCCAACTCAGCATATTCTGTGATTTGTAAAATTTTTCAATACTTCCAAAGTTTTCATTACTTGGATAGTTCCAGATCTACCTGAAGTCACTGACTCCAAACACTGACAATGTGTCTGCTATGAGCACATCATCATTACTGAGATTACACAGCATCATCAAGGGATTTCTATGTCAGGAAGATTCAGCACTATAACTGCTCAGCTGCCAAAAAGTTTTCTCTTGACCAAAGCCTGCTTTAATGCTTCAGGGATGTTAGTGTCATTTGAAGAACTATACTCAAGTATTTGGGAAACATTAACAAAGATAGTATGATAAATTAAACTGCTATTTTTCCTTAAACATCGAGAGAAGGAATATATTTGATGTCTCTATCAAATAAAGTCTATTTATTCCTAATGCCACTACACAAATATTTTAAATATTATATTAATTAACTTACTATAATAACTATATAATTATTTGTGTTGTTATTATTATTGCTTCATTTTAATATTTTGCTCTTTTTTTGCACAATGTGACTTGAAAGGTATTCGACAGGCCTGCCATTAGTAGCTGATTATTTTTTTTAATTTAACTTATATATTTCCAGAAAAAATGAGTGCATTTGCTGAGATGACTTCAGATTCTGGTTAACTGGTGACTTTCAGTGCCAGGGATAGAAACTTACCATGTAACACGGGGTTCTGGCCAGCCAGCCACGGAACAATTAAATCTAACATTTTCCTTTTCCCAGATAGTGTGGGAACGAGGCTCAATGATAAACTCAGGAGCATGTAAGAGTTTATCTTGATTCAACTTTCTATGGAATGCCTGAGTCTCTTCTAGCTGGAAAAGAAACATTTTATTATACACTTGATTACAGCAGCAGTTAGAAGTGCAAATTATTAATAGTAAACAAACAAAAAAAAACAACAACAACAAAAAAACCCCAACAAAAATACCCCTGCAATTTTTATTTAAACATCCAGGCACACTTAATCTCACACAGAAAATAAAGTTTTCATTTTCCGGAAGTTCTCCTTCCAAAATAACTAGATTTGATTTTACAGAGATTTTCCCTTCAAAACTATTCTAACTAAAATAATATTCCAAATCTAATTACTTATTTATTATTTTAAATACAGAGTGGAAGGTGAAATAGGCCTGAAACTCAGATGTCTTCTGTACTTGTGCTGTAATGCAAGGCTCTCTATGCCTAGATCATCTTGACAGAAGTACTTTCAAGGCTTTCCTCCTGACAGCATCTTTCATCCTCCCAAGGTAACTGGTTCAACTGCTTGACTATCCACAGAGCTGGAAAAAACTCCTAATATGTATAAATAGGTATAGGTATAAATCCTACTTTCTGCAAACTAAATTATTTATTTTCTGCCCTAACTTTCAAATATATGGAGAATTAAAGGTCCCTGTACCCAGATTATTAAAAGAGGACTTTTATAAACAGGGCAATACCAGTTTTCCTTACAATGGTTTCTCAGTCCTTGACAGGTTCTATTTGTCCTCAACATTCATCAAGCAGTGACTGCTCATTATCATAGACACAACAGATTCCAACACAATTAAATAACTGCTCCTTATGTGTTACTAATAATACTCTAGATTGGTATTTGTTTTCATAAAACTGTCATTAAATTGACTGACCTTTTATAACTCTCAGATCCTGAAGTACTTCTACATAGCCAGGCATTCCTCATTTACTTTATCTTTTCCTTCTGTGTGTAGTCATTTCCATTGGTTGTTACTCAATTTCACCCTCACTCTTTCTCAATTTTTGAGATGATTTTGACTTTTTTGCCCTGTCTTTGAAAGTTTTTACACCATTTCCAACCTTATGTCATATTTTAAAAGAATATTGCCAATTCTTCTGCTCAATACAATAAATAATAAAATATAGTAATAGTATAGTATAGTATAGTATAGTATAGTATAGCAATATAAGTAGTATAGTAATAGAAATAAAGTAATATATTTGCTAAATGAAACACATTTGCACTTACATGTCCTGTCTGGTCACAACATATTTATAACTATGCTCTGAGAAGTATTTTTTAAGAAATTTGTTAATAATGCACATAATTAGAGATTCAGTTCCAGATTTCTTCCCTAATTTACACCTAATTTCCCCTAATTCTGCCCTAATTTATACCAAATGTTTAAAACTCTGGGGTGGGGTGAACACTTTGAACAACCCATAAAAGTCTAGAAATTACCCCTTCACTTACTTATGAGTAATATATATATATATATATATATATATATATATATACACCCACTTTTATTGTCTACCCAGCAGCTGCCTCATCCTCCAGCTGAAGGATGATGTGCCATTTAAATAGGTGTGGACATGACCAAAGAGCCTTCCCTGGGGACCTACTCTGTCCTTTTCTCTCAGCACAGCAGAAGAATTCCTGGTGCCTGCCTGGGCACAGTGCCTCTCTCCTTTTCCATTTGATACCTAGATAACAAGACTTTTAAGTGATTAAAGAGATTTCCATTGAAAATACTTAAGTTTATTACTACCATTGTTGTGATTGCCCATGGAGTAAGTCAGGGCACTGGTGTGCTAGGCATTTTACAAATACCAGACAAAAAAAGACTAATTTTCTTTTCCAGCTTAAGTATTAATTTCTAATATTTTACCGTTTTCTTCATGGCTACACGTTCAGCAGACTCCCGGATCGCCACTTTCCTTGATTTTTTTTCATGATGTTCCTCTTCAGAAGTCTTGGCCACCTTGCTGACACTAACTCCTTCCCCTGTGGCAAAAAGGTTCCTCTTGGCAACATATGCAGCACTTTCTTTAATTCTCTCTTCTTCAGTGTCTGTGATACCACTGATATTCACTTCTCTGAAAAAATTTTTAAAAAGCAGAATCCCATTGGAAACACGTTCCATTTCTACTTGCTACCAAACCAGCCACTATGGTGGCCAACACCCTTCTGCTACAACACTCTTATTTGTATTCAATGCAGAAACATGGAAGGGATTCTGGAGAAAGACTGAGTATTTCACTGTCCAAAGTCATGGCAATTTTCAGGGCCTCTCCCTCTAAATATGCCACACACATTTTCAGTTAAAACATTATCCTGCTGTGGCTTTTATCTCCACCACTATAAAGATGAGTGTGAAGCATAACCACAGATTTTCAATGTATTAACTTACAGCTGCAGTGTTTGTGACAGCACCGCCAAAGGTGCAAGAGATAATTGTAGCTGTATAACAATCAATGTCCTCATTCATGATTTATTAACCCCCCCCACCCTATATAATTTTAGACAACAAAAAGTTCTCTTTGTTCACAGAAAATTCCATCCTATATTGCTATATATGCCATATAATTTATATATGCTATATAAATTCCATCCTATATTATCTTTCAGGAAGATAACTGTGGATTTTCTTGAAGCCTCCTCTTCAAGCTTTGTACAAAGGTGAGACACAAAGAGCTCTCAGGGGGTGCAATCCTGTTTCCACACTGACATATGGAGGTACCTTTGAAACCATACTGTTTTGGCACTGTCAGGACATTACAGCTGCTGCAGTGCTGCATACACAATGAGAGTTCCTTGACTTAAGAAGAAGCATCAATATCTTCCTGCTGAATTAGTTACTGTAAGGGAGCATTAGCTAGCACACTGAAAACAAATTCAGTTTAATTCTCATTAAGTGCCATCTTGCAAGCACTACAGAAACATCACCTCTGTTTCTGGAGTGCACTCAAGCACAGCCTCTCTTTTATCAGAAAACACTTACTACTGCTACTACAACAACAAAGCAAAAAATAGAAGGAAGGAATTTTTTCTTTTTTTTTTTTTTTAATATCTCCAATATTATGCATTTGACAGCATATCTCAATACTAAAAAAATTGAATTCAAGCTCAGAATTAAGTGTCTAGCCCCTTATCTTGAAGTCAGTTTGGTGAGATGCAAGACAGTCAAGCAGTGGAATGTGTGTAAGCTTAATTACATTTAACAATTGCTAAAAAGACTTAAAAATCTTACTTAACAGCATAGAGCTATGACCACCCTCAAATTCAACTTCCTGTGTTTCAGTCTGCTTTAAGAGGATGATCCTCAAGAAATCAGTGGGATGATAGATTCCCTCCACTTAGGCACATCAACTGTTCCCACAAATATCACCTGAAGATATAGCTATATTGAAGAAATTTTTAAAAACAATTTTGAAAAACTCAGTATAATGAATATGAATATAGCTATCTACATTCATTTTAAATTAATCCATGACATTTTTCTTCAAAGCCAAACTGATACTATTTCTTCCTTAATTACAGTAGTTAAGATCTCAGCAACTTCACAGGATGGACTGGTTTCTCAAGGCATTAAGCATCTTTTGGGAGCTGATGAATATCCTCTGACTAAAATGGAACTCATCCTAGTCATCTGCAGTTGTAATCCCTAGATGCTTTTGATCAACAGTATTAAATATTTATTTCTAATAATTTCTCCCTGTTATAATCTTCCCAGATCAAAGAGAAACATGCTCCCTGAAATGACAAATGCACTAAACCAGCAAATTGTACCATTTAAGCGTTGATTTTACAGTCAAGTCTCAAGGGTTTCAGTAGAAAATAATTTTCAAATAGATCCAACCAGATCCAACCCCAAATGGCACAGGAAAAATATCATTTTAAGGGTATCTGCCATCTACAGTCCTTCGGCATAGGTTTATTAGTGATTACAAATAGTTCCATGAGCCACATTCAGCAACTTCAGCACTTACAGCATTACATCAAGCTCTGGGTGTTTTACTGTCTAAAATACTGTCTGGCTCTCCACAATTTTCTCTTGCAAGGATTAGCCTAGGTGTTTACAAGGTGTTTAAAAGGATCAGTTGCTAAGTGAATCATCTGAGCAAAGTATTTTTTCTACAGCAGAACCTGAGAGTTCTGAAGTAGAACTAAATAATGGAAACGGTGACACACTGCTGGAGGTCACCCAGCTCCAACAAACCCACAGTGAGATGACCTTTATAAATAACTTTTCCTTTTAACAGCTCTCTGCCCATGGGAAACAACACATCAGTTTCACTGAGGAATTTGGGAATGACATATAGCATGCACATGGTTCAATGGGCTTCAGCTGTTATCTTTCAAACAAAAATAAATATCTGAGAGGAATGTGGCATGCAACTTTCACAGTCTTGGCATGTGGTCATGAGCATGATGCCAACATGAAAAGCCTAAACCAGATACCATTTCATGCCATGTTGAGTTGAGCACTCAACAGTCATCATAATGCTCTTTTTAACCAATTTTTTTAAAATTTAAAAAAAAATCCCAAAACAAAATTAAAGATTTTTGGATAATTTCAGTGGCAGAAGAGCACACAGAGCTTTCTGAATTGCCATAAGTAAAAAGTAAGATTGACACCAAAACAAAACAAAACAAAACAAAACAAAACAAAACAAAAAATAAGTATAACAATGATGTAAGAATTTGACAGTACCTTTTAATGTAAAATCCCAACCAGAACCCCAAAATATTTTACAGATACAAATAAATGAACCTATACATTGTCACATTGAGTTGGGTATTACTGTATGCATTAAAAAATAAAATAAATGAAATTATTTTTTAGTATTTGTTAACATGATATGCTAAGATCACAGAGGCCTGTAAAAAAGCTAAGTACTAATCAATGGTTGTATTTTTCAAATATTGCCCAATACTAAAAATTTTACTTGTGTAGACTCAACATACAATAAAAAGGAAAGATATTTGTGTTTGAGGACATGGGAGACAGATGATGGTGAGCTGCAAATCTGCTACATAAGTATAAAAACTGGCCAAGATGCAAAAGTAGCAAGAAAGCTTGTGAATATGTTATCTCAAGGTTTGAGACTGTCAATTTTTATGTGTTTCTATCACAGAAGATACAGATTAAACTCCAAAGCAAATTTTTAAAAAGGCAGCAGTGTTTTTGAACATTGGATCAAAGAGCAGTGAAACCAACACAGGAATGTACAAGGGATGAGAAAAAATTACTCTGAGACAGTGGGGGGAGTTAATGAAAAACAAAACTACTCATCACTAAAGCATCACAAATGCTCAAAAGGCCAGAGCAATAACATCCTCCCAGACAAGCTGGAACACAGTTCATGTGAAAACACAAGATTGGGTATAAAGCAGAAGTGTCTTTGGGTGCTGATGAAGCAGTAGACAGAAAAGCACTGGCTCCCAGAAAAAACTTAGATGTGTCCCCTGAAAAATGCTGTGCTGCAGAGGAAAGACAGGTTAAAGGGAGGTTTCTGTTCAACTGCAGGTGGGCAAGAAAATATTTCCTGGCCTCTAACCAGGAACAATTTTCCACACTACACCCCAGTATGTATTAATCTGAACAAGTGACTATGCTGGAACTGCTGGAGACTCCTACTAAAATCACTATGCCATACCCCAAAAAGGGCAGGGGAGCCTCATTGCTGATGTTGGTTCTGGCTTCCACATAAAGTTCACATTCAGCTTTACTGAGAACACTGCTGCAGTAAGATGTATTACGTCAGTAGTAACCATGCAATAAATACCACCAACACGTGAGATCTGTGTGAATCATTACAATGGATTTGAGAAAGCATTTGGTTTTATTACAGGTTTTCCCTGTGCCAGGGTAACATATTAGCACGTTGTTTCATTGTTTCTATGTTTAATGCTTGGTAAGAGAGATCTGATTACAGAATAAGTCTTCAAACCAAAAGAATAAGCTAAATAATGTGGACAACATGCTCCCTGGTTCCCAGTAGGCAGGGTTCTAATTATATTTTCATTTCATAGAAAGTGGCCCTGATAATGTGTTCAAAACAAAGTCCAGACACGCAGGTTCATTTGTCCTGGCTCTGGATGAACCATGTCCAATTTTCTGCCAGACAGTTTACTTCTCTTTTTCTTTTTATCACTCATATGAAGTGCAAACTATCACCATAAGATCCACGAGTGTAAAGACAGATTAATGAATTTGTTATTTTATAATTTGTTAATAGAATGTCAGAAATAAGATACCAAATGAAATAAAAATGATCTTACCAAATGAAATAAATGAAAATGAAATAAAAATGAAATAAATGAAATTAAATAAATGAAATAAAAATGATCTTACCGTCCTGTGAATATGGGAACTGAGTAGTCTAAGGCTTTGTTCTCTTTGTCCTCTGATATCAAACTCTGTTTTGCTCTCTTTGCTTTGGGACTCATCTTATAGGACTGATCTTCTATCATTAAGTTGGAATTTTTCAGTCTGAAATAAAAATTATATTGTTAAATATCAAGAAAGCAGCTGTAAAGAAACACTCAAAAATACAATTAAAGTACTAGAACTTTTTGCTCTCTTGTTTTGTAATCAAGAATTTATAATTTTTAATAGCCATAGTTTCCGAGTTATTAAACACATAACTAAGTGTACTTTTGACAATCTCACCATTACAAACATACCACTTATGCCCCTTGATATTAAATCAAAATAGATAGAGTAAGCAATATACCTGGTAGCAATGTACTTTAATAGCTTTTGGTTTGGGACTTGGGAAGATTGTTTAAGTCTCTATACAGAAACTGTAGGGCAGAAAACAGTGTTGCCATCCCCACTGCTCTCCCATAACACTCCAGGGGGAAGTGTTGAGTGAAGTAGCACCATTTAACATAGCACAGATAAATGGAGGATGACTGAAAAGGAGGAAAAGCTTCCCACCCCCACCCCTCCCCCAGTCTTCAGCAGACTGGAAGGGATTCTGAAGAGCATGAAGCATATTTGAGGCAATCACTTTAGGTTAATTTTAAACATAGTTACAAATTGTGTAAACAAAGCTCAAAACACCTCGTCCTCCTTTGCCAAAGCAACACATCTCTAATTTCCATATCTGTGGAATATGCTAATTATTTATCAGCCTTTAATAAATCCCCCAAGTGTCTATTCACCTGTCTTGCAAGATCACCACAGAAAATCATATATGAGTCTGTTTCTGGTCTGGGGATTTGTGTACACAAATGTACTGCATGTACAGTATGAGCTGCCTGCTTACATGTGCAGATACAGGAGCAGAATGATGGTTTCTCAGCAAGGCTTGTTAGCCCTGATATGTGCCTCTGTCAGGGATAACCTGCTTCCCACACCCTGGATAGCTTACACTGGTGTCTCCACATATATCAAAACCCATGCTAACACTGGGCCCCTGGGAATGTTACACATCCATAATGTAATATAATATTATATCCTTGGGCTAATGTTTTCCTTAGGCTGTATCCCTGCAAAAGTACCACCACCAACACAAGAAGAGCGCTGTTTCCAAAATATGTGCTAGTAATATATCCACTGAGACTGTGTGTGAGATGACACAGGATCACTTTCATTCTTCCATCCTCCCTTCCTTCATTTCTTTGTGTTCATCCCTTTACCCAGACTGAGTTCTCTCCCTACTCAGTTCCAGTTAATGTAATTCCTCTGTGCTCCTCAGGTGCCACCATCACCAATCCTGCAGCACTTCTGCCAAGTGACGCTCAGTACAGGGGGTAAAAGCAACTGTGCACTGCTTCTCCTTCCTTCCTCCTCTCCCTGTAACCTGGCTTCCACACAAAAGGAGGCACAGCCAGTGAGAGACTGTGGCACACATGGCAGGACTGGAGCCAAAGATTTTCCATGTCAGGCACCACTGGGTCAGCTAAGGCACAGACCACATCTACAGAGAGAGATGCTGTGGGCTCTGGATTTTGACACCAGGCACTACCCAGGACAGCCAGGGATGGAGTACAAGAGATGCATATCCAGCTTTAGGGACTGAAATCCAAGCAGAAAACACTTGGGAACAGTCCAGGCAGAGTGAAATAAAAAGGAAGAGACAAGAGATGACAAGTAACATTGAAATGGGGTGTGCAATGGCCTTACTCCTAGGTTGGACAATGATGTGGTGCAATCACTATGGCAAACCACAAATGCACTGGGACAACTCATCAAATAAGGGAAAAGAAACATCAAAGGCAAACTATTTTCATTATTTTTCTTAATTGAACTAGAGTCTGTAAGGAGCTGCAGATCTTTACTTAGCAGGTGACTTTTATTCCTGTCCTATATAAAAATGGGTCAAACCTGGAATTTTGACTCTGACAGACATTATATTTCCTCAGAGCTTCAGGCTGAACCTGTTATGAGGCCACTTCATTCCTAGTTGCTTCTATATCAAGAAATATCACAGTAGCAATTGAACTTAAAATGTCTAGAAGTTTTTTTATTTTCACAAATGTAGTTGAAATGTGGTGGAAATTTCAGCTCAGGCATTTACAGCACTGTTAAATCCAGACAAATCCAGATAAATACAGTATTCCTAAAGGAGAGTTTGGCCTTGCAGTCATTTTAGTTTTCATTTGAGGTCCAGATTATACACTCATGCAGGGAATTAATGGGAAGCATATAAAGCAGTACCCATCACTCCTTGCCAGGCATTTTGTTTATATCTTTCTGGTATGGTAGTCGGGGTATCCTATCTTTCATTTATATCTTTCTAAAATTATTTGAAAAGGCAAGAATAAAAGGTTCTGTTTGTTTGGAGGCTGATTTTTCACTCAAACACTCCAAGTGTTTGAAGTTGAATATCTCACCTTCATGACCATACCAGAGCACCCAGCTGATGTTTTCAGAGGGATACCTAGAGTCACTCCAAAATGTTCTTTAGAATTGCACTGCATAAACCAAGAGATTAGATGAATAAATTTGAAGCAGCAGAAAATGTTTCTCCTTTCTAAATTCTGGCATAGCTAGATGGAGGCTACTAGAAACACATATTCAAATGGAGTTCTTTGCTTGAAAATATAGGTTAAACACTATTCTATCATGCGGTTTATTTCCCTCTTCTCCTGTGTTCTTACTATTTCTTCCTGTGCAACACAAAAACAAAATCCTACCTAAAACCATTGTTTAGGTGACCCAAAGGAGGACTCTGTTTCTTGAACTAGATTCTAAAATCTTGCCCTTTATTTTAAAATGTTCCAACCTTTTACCTGATATGTGGAACAGAATCTCCCCAGAGGAGCAAGAGCAGAGTATCAGTGCTCTCTAGTTTCATAGGGAGGAACAGTATCATGACCTTTTAACATCTTTCAGCCTCATCTGATATGCACAGTTAGTATATGTATATTTTTTTTTTCCAGGTAAGATATTTTCTGTTCAGTTTTATCAAGGTTGGTGACCTAAGCCTACTGTCCTGACTTCAGGGTGGTTTCCAGCATGTTAAAATGTCAATGCCAGCATTTTCCTAGTTTTTCATTAGAGTTGTAAAAGGCACAGGCATTGTTCTCTAGAGATGAAAAAAAACAGATGCTATTAATTTTCCCTCTAGCCTAAAGAGGAACTAAAGAAAACCCTGTGCAGGGCATGTGCAGCTCCCAAACAGATGCTTTGCTCTGTGTTGATGTCTTATTTTCGGACAGAGAATATGTTGGCACTGCCCTTTTTTCTGCCTGAAGGGACAGGTTTCCCACACTGCCTAAAGAGAGTCTGCACCCAGTGGATGTAGAAATGCGTTCTGGAAGCAGACCACAACACTCTATTCTTTTGTTCTTTCACTCTTGCATGAAAAGGCACATATAAGCTCTTTTACACCTCTACAAAACCATGTATCTTGTCCTAAGCAGAAAGAGATAATGGTATACACAATGATTGCACCAGCTGTACCTCCTTGAGAAGCTCTATTAACCATGAGTCCTTATCCAGACTTTCTTTTTAACTGCTGTTTCTTTCCTAATATGCAATATCTTAACTTACTGTAAATAGGAGAAGAACTCTTTAAATTCAGCTTCTAAAAATGAGAAATGCTCTCTGGTGACTATATTAAGTTGCTGACAGGTTTGTCACAAGCCCAGGCAATATTGCTGGCGAAATTCCCTTACACAGCTTCCACAACAATTTTATTTGAAGGGGAATTGTTTCCACATAGCAGGTGTAATTAATTTCCATGCTTGGGTATGACATCTGGAAGCCAGCTCCTTAACCCTCACCTATAATAAACCAGAGGTGAGCAGTGCCAAGATCATGGTCTTCAAATGTTTCTGGATGTGTATTATTTTCTCAGCCTTGTCCCAATCCTGGTTACAGTGTTGCTCAGAAAAGCATTAGCCCTCACTGGCAACCCAATTAAAGGCAAGTTAGAAAGGCATTTTTCCTCTCTTTGCTTGGTACACCTGAATTACACCATGTCCTCTTTGCTATTTTGCCTGACCTGCAAAATAAATGCAAATGCCTGAGCCACACCAGTAACTTCTGTTTTCCCTCTAAGCAGGTGTCTGGCCCTTCTGGTGACAGATAATCTGTCTGTGACACAATGGGATTATTGATACTGCTAGACAGGAGAATAACGCATGGAAAAGCAGTGAAAGTTTGAGCAAAGGCAAATCACTGAACTTCCATAAAAAGAGACTTAAACACATTTAATCCAGCAGCCCTGTTTGACAGCCCTGTAGTTCTATAAGAAGCTTTGGCAGATCTGACTCAAATCTTCTCAAAAGCACACAGAGGATGGAGCACTGCTGTGGAAGAAGGAGTCAGGAACCAGGCTTCCCACAGGAGCCAACCTGCCAAGGCTGGCAGCCCCCAGGGGCTGGATGGGGAAGAGCATGGGTGGCCACAACATCGGCTTGTGGGAGACGTACATCCCTCACCTGCACAAAGCCTCAAGGGAAGCAGCACATGCCCCTTTTCCTGCCTCTGCTGAAGCCAAAGAAGTGCTTGGCTAAAGAGAGCCCCACCAGCTGGTGGGGAGGGCTGGCTGTGAAGAGGCAACCTCTCCATGGTGAGAAGCCCTTTCTTCTGGGAGCCCAGAGGTTTGCACCTTTGGCCAGCTGCAACCAGCAGAGCTGCAAGCTTCCATATTTGCTCTTGATTTTGCCAGTTTTCATTTTGCTCCCTCTACTTCCTCAAGATGATGTGGTGTGAAAAAGACTCAAAATGTGGGGGACGGGCCACTTGCACAGGGAAAATTTTTCATCCCCCTGAAAAATCAAGCTGTGCCTCCTTCAAACTACCTGTTTTCACATCCTGGGAATGTTTTCCACTCAAGTGAGGCTTCAACATCACAGAACTGGGTCCAGGTCAAGGTCTTACAGGTTACCTAGTTCCTAGACCTTCTCCACTGCTTTCCCCATGATAAATTCATCACATAGCACTAACTGCATGTCAACACCAATGCTTCATGAACTCTTTTCTCTACCGTGATTACAAAAATGGATAAGACTTAAATTTTGCAATAACTATAAGCCAGAAGCTTATAGTTATAATAACTATAATACCAGAAGCTACTTTAAATAAAAATAAGAAATAACCTGAATAAAAACGTAATATTTGAGTATTGCTGTTCGGCTCAATGGTGTTTATCTGCAAAACTACATCCATTATGCATAAATCTATATTTGATGGTAATATTCACTGATATGTAATTATCAATTGCTAGCTGAAAAACATTTCTGGATTTGGATTTGTGTGTCCTTTCTGGTTTCAATCAAACACTCAGGTCACTGAGATACATAATTTCAATTCAACCTTTTCTATTTCTAGAAAATTGGAAGAATTTGAAGACTTTTTTTTCTACACCATTCTTTTCAAATGGATGAAAATGAAAGTCTTTGATTTTCTTAATTTATTTAACACTTGTTGTCTCCACATTACCCCTTGAAGTATTTTGCATTATCTGCAAGTACAGTACAAATTTGACAAGAATTCCTTCAAATTTTAACTACATTTAGCTGTAGTATTGCATTATTTTTTCCATTTGGCCTCTTGCAAATTGCAGATATATGGGATGCACAAAAGAAATAAATACCAACATGGAGGCTATATTAACCATAAAGCCAAGCTAAATACTGAGATTTTCATTCAGAAATATTGTCTCCTGTGTTAATTAAATTTTGTGTAAGAGAGCTTGGAATCCTATGTATCTAATCTCCAGAATCCTTGTCTTAGGCAGCAGCAATGAAGTTTTTCCAATACAATGACAGGACCACAGAAATAAAGAAGCTGCAGCTGACATTATTATCTCTGAACAATCTATTGGCAAGTCTTGTACTACAGAGTATTATATATGCAAATATGCTACTTTAAATCAAAAGCTTTCATCTCAAGCAAAACCTTGGTAAATGTTTTAAGTTCTCTCTCAACTAAACAACTTAATTTCCTTCAATATTATACTATTGACATTAGAGTTATTCTTAATAAGACAGATTTCAGAAAAAAACTTGTGTGACAGCTGAAGTGCTTGTAAGCAGGACTCAAAAACAGAATTTTTAACAATCATTTTTTAAAACTTGAAGTTCTATTTTTATGAGAACCTTTGCTTCAAGAAGAAGCAAGCTTTGGGTTACAGTCAGCAACAGAGTGCAGGCACAGCTGCATTGCTGCAGAAATTTGGGATATCTTCCCTCACCCAGCTCCCTTTGGAAGTGTAACAATCAGTCCCAGCACCTCCAGTTTTCTTCCCTTCACCAACAGATTATAAATGAGATTCTCACTGCTTTCTCAGTGGTAAATTATCTGCACAAGTAAACTTGTTTCAACAGCAAAGCCTGGATATGACCAGACCGTAAGACAATCATACAGAATACAGAATCATACAATACAGAATCATAAAATCATTGCAACCTCTAAGATCATCAGGTTTAACCAGTAACCCAGCATTGCCAAACCCACCCTTAAACCATGTCCTTAAGTGCCACGTTTTTGAACACTTCCAAGAATGATGATTCCACCATTTCCCTGGTCAGCCTATTCCAATACCTGACCACCCTTTCAGTGAAGAAATATTTCCTAATATCCGATCTAAACCTCCCCTAGTGCAACTTGAGGTCATTTCCTCTCATCCTGTCTGATTCCCTGGGAGATGAGATCAAGGCCTGCCTGGTTACGCTCTCAGACAGCTGTAGAGAGTGATAAGGTCTCCCCTGAGTATCCCTTTCTCCTAGATAAATAACTGTATTTCCCTCCGCTGCTTCTCATAAGACTTGTACTCGAGAACCTTCATCAGGTTTGTTGCCCCTCTTTGGACATGTTCCAGCAACTCAATATCTTTCTTGCAGTAAAGAGTTAAGTAAAGTCATTCACCTTGACTTTAACAGCCTGAGGATCAAATTCCTGAAAACACTCAGGCAAATAGAGATTGGACCCTGAGCTTCCTGAAAGCCAAGATTTCAGTGAAGGCTGAAATCACAAGGTATTGTTTACTGTGGTACATGTAGTCTTTCTCTCATTGATTGTGGCCAAGATTTCACCATTATCCACAGTCTGGGGAGAATATTCAGTTTTAAATTTTAAATTTTCTGGTGGACAAGTTTTGATCAGTTCTGCTAATGATACTCTTAATTTTGCATTAATATAACAGCAAGCAGATGTTTTGAGCTATAATTTGTTTATTGTTTCCTCTATTGCTAACAGCTGCTCTAATCTTACTTTAATACTTCCCTAATTTCTGTAAATCTCTGATATATATGCATACAAATATTATGAGGCTATTATAGCAAAATATTATGCTAATGTAATTGCTTGATCAATATTTATGATCTTAAATTTTAAAAAAAAAAAGAGCTGAGTATAGCTATTCTTCTCTTGTAAGATGGGACACCTCAGGTTGTTTCTACTTTGGAAATAGTATGCATCAACCAATATACAGTGTGAAAATTTCAGTTTCTTGGACCACTCAGCACAAAAGTGAAACTATTAGGCCAAAGAAGAATTAATCATATATGGACACATCAACTCAAACTTGCATGAAGAGCTTTGAGTTCTTATACTACTCCAACCTTGCCAGATAAGAGACAGACTCAATCCAAAGCTATCTCAACTCTTCGTATTAAATTCAGCTGTATTAACATGACTAAAGAACTTGGAAGGAGAGGCAGCTCATGCTTAACCATCTGGAGTGTGAATATGTCAGCATTCAGCCACATCAGCATTTCCAATCCTATTCTTACAACAGTCCAAGAATCACACATGGATTTGTTCAACAAACTAAGCTGACCACAGTCCTTCCCATTGCCAAAGCCAAGGGAAAACACCTGACCAGGAAAATACATTCATGTATTTTATGTTATAGAGAAACTTTATGTGGATGAGGAGGAGAGTTTTGCCATTGTTTTCAATGGGAGGTGGTTGGATATTTTTCTACCAGGATGCTGTTTCAAAGATGGATTATCTTACCCAAAACTGTAGGCTTCAGATCCCAGCCGATAGGCTGCAGCCAGCTTGTTGATGGATTCAGATGCGTGGCTGTAGGCAGCTGAGCTGGTGCTGAGGGACTCGGAGTCAAGGCTGTAGGCAGCAGATCTCTTGCTTTGCGCGGCAGAGTGGTCGTAGGCTGTGGATCCATAGCTGTAGGCTGCCGACTCCAGGTCGTGGGCTGAAGAGCCATGGCTGTAAGCTGCTGAGGAGTCAAGGCTGAAGCCTGCTGCAGACGAGTGGCGGTAGGCAGCAGAGCCCCTGGCGTAAGCAGCAGATCCTTGAGCATAGAGGGCAGATTTGCTCTTTGTCTCCTTTTGGTACTGGCTCACAGTGGACAACAGCGCTTTGTGGCGGTACGCACGGTCATAGTGCTCGTGGTGTCTTTGGTAGAATGGTAAAGACATCATGGATGCCTTCGAATTTTGGGTTTTGCTGCACTTTTCTGAGTGCAAATAAAAACAGGATAATGTCTGAAAAAGAATAGGTCAAACATAAGGACTACTGTCAAGGAAACTCCTGAGTTAGCATACAAATAAACCCAACTTCACACAAACTAACACTGAACTTGAAAAATCAACTCCAATGAATTTAGAGTTATCTTTTTATGATGTGATTTAGACTTTCAGACAGGTTCATATTCAAGTTTCAAGATGCTCATGTCACCCATCATGACCAGAAACCTTTGCACTCTTGTGTCTGTTCATTTATAGTTGGTTCCCTGCTACTGCAAACTATTCACGTTTTATGTGCTCACTTATTACTGCAAACTAATGAAAGTCTGTGTGCCTCGCTTCTTCAGAGATAGTATAAAGAATTTTGTTCAATTACAATAGAGATAATAAAGTAATAAATTATTTTTAAAGGCAAGAGCAAATCCAATGAGCCTATAAAAGCTGAAACAAAAATATATGAACATTTCATTTATTTTTGTAATCCAATTTTCAGATTGAATTTAATCTTCCATTTATGATTACAACAGTGAATTGAAACACTAAGATTGAGAAGGAAGTCAGTTTTTCTTTAAATGTGCATTATAGTAATTGTTTTGTACATGATACCAGGGTTCAATTTAAAAGAGCTTATTATGCATTATTCTTTTACAGTTGAATCAGGGATCCAGCCTGTATGCAATGGTTAAAATATTATCATGTTCCTCAATGCAAATCCTTTTCTTTTAACCTAAAATATCATATTCAAGGTTTCCAAGACCCTTTGTCCAGATGATAGACCCATTTAATTCTAGTTTGCACATCATCAGTTGATTATCTTTAGTCACTTGTAGTGCAAATTCTGATCAGGTGAGAGGTAGTTCCCCTCTCAAAGTGGGATGAAAGTTGAGTGCAGAAAGAATTTCCCTTGTCTGTTTGTTTGTTTTAAAACCAGCAGTTCAGTCATTACTTTGCATTTTTATTTTGCTATTGTTATAACTGATTTTTCTACTTTGACATGGAAGCTTGCTTCAAGTAATCCATATGATAACCTTTCTTTCTCTTTCTCTTAGGCTCACATGGCTACCAGGATTGTCTCTGAAAAGGTCTCTCATTAGTAATAGAAATGACCTACAATAAGGAAGTGTTAACAAGGATTTAAAGAAGATCAAAAAACAAGAGTGAGAGGTGTTTGTTATTGCTTTGAGTATTTTTTTTTTTAATTGATCACAACAGTAGGAAATTTGTTCTGCTTCATGATTTCTTCATACTAATGAAAAACTATTTAATTTTTGGACTTAAAATACATTTACAGAACTGTAAGATAATCATGACTTCATGAAAGTATAGATATCCAATTTGGGTTGTCCTGCACAGGGACAGGAATTGGTCGCTGATGATTCTTGTGGGTCCCTTCCAGTTCAGAATAGTCTGTTATTCTGTGGGTTTTTTTTCCCCTGCTGGTCTTTATGCCCCCTAGATTTCAGTCCTTGGCTTTTCCTTTAGTATTTGGTTCTGAAAGCAAGTCAACAAATTTCAAACAATTCTCTTTGAAAGCTGCTGAGGTATTTGCCCTCACCAAGGCAAATTATGGATAAAAAAAAAAAAGAACAAAACACCAAAAACCCCAGAAACAAAACCCAAACCAAACAAAAACCAAAACCAAAATGTTCTTATATTTCAGGGATCTCACAAGGGAAATGCTCCTTGTAGGATAACTTTAGCTTCAGGAAGTCAACAAGGAAGAAATTTATTCAGAAACTTTTTATGTAAAAGAAATTGCTGATATCCTGACCAAACAGAAACTATGAGACTTCAAGGAGACCAAATTATACACTTACTTTATTTTTATCTGAGGAAGAAGGAGAAATGAGAAAGAGTGTTAGCCCATTGGTCTCTATGGCAAAAGCTGATGTTCTTTTTTAGCTCTCTTATTCCTAATGCTGGTTATTTTTTCATGTCAGTCTAAAAGAATGCAATTATGCTGTCTAGCATTCTTGTTTCTAGTACCTGTCAGTATTTTCTGTTGTTACTTATTTCACTTAGTAAGCTACTGGTAGTATGTAATTCCTCTTAATTTCCCTAGTTTCAGAAGATTTTTTCCTTAATTTTTCTGTGTTGTCTCCCTCTTCCACCTCTGCAGAGTTGGGTTTAGGGCTTGTAAGTCATTGTGATCACTGCCTAGGAAGGTTAAGGTGTACAGAAGAATATTGTCTTGCACACTGAAAGGAAAGGAACATGAGAACATCCTGTTTTCCTTCTGCAGAGTACTATGGTGCATCTTCACCAGCTTTATTTGAAGTGTTGGCTGGCTGCATCATTCATACAACAGCCACAATGCTAACAGACATTCAGCTCAGGCATGCCCAAAATCTTCCAGGCTTCAAAGCATGGAAGGTGATCCACAAGTATGAAGCACTGTGTGTGTTGCCCATTAAGAAGTTAAACAAGGCATTTAATTTACTTTTTATCAGACCAAAAGAACAAGTTAAAAGGAAACATTTTTCTTCCAAACATGAAAGATCTCACTGTCTCACAGTCCTCAGGAGTAAAAGTCTGTGATAGAAGTAAGGACTATTATAGCAAGGCAGGCACTGAACACTAACTAAGTCAGCTCTAATGATCTAATCAAAGACCAGCATTGACTTACATCATGTAAAAGGAAACTCCTTTAACAGGCATTTTATCACACTCTGTGTTATGTTTTATATTTCCTCTGAAACATCACGGATTGCTCACAGGCCAGGATAAGCTGGTTACATTAGTCTGATCAGATACAGCAGTGTGATGCTATCGGAGATGACAAGTAACTCAGAAACTTCCAGGGACTTTTCTCCTCTCTGGAGCACTGCCTGATTGTCAGACTGACTCCCATCTCCTAAGTTTTATCTATGATACATGCACCCACATAGTCTGCATGCACCAACCAGCCCCTTCAGTGTGAGGGCAACTTCAGAGCTTAGCCCAAAAACATTAGTGGCCATAGTTAGATGAATTCACAGTTTTTGGAACTATATTTTATCAGCTATTGAACTGAATATTTAAAATTACTACTGAGCAGGCAGACAGTTCTCTACTTGTCAATAGTTCATAGCTACACATTAAAGGAAGCTGGCCTCACCTCTAGTGCTGTTTATCAGTCTGTGTAATTCTTTAAAGATCTACTCCATCAATCAATGAAAATAGTGAAATAGATTTAAAAAAAGAAACTCTTGTAAGCAAAGATAAGATCCTAAGCAACAAGAAAATATTTATGTTATTTAAACCTTCTCTAAGCCCTCAGGATGACATGACAAACTCCTCCTGTATCTCAGTAACCCATGCTTCATTTGAGAGTACTGTGACAATATGTAAAGATAGCTGAGTGAAAATAAAAGGGCCCCTGCACTACTTTCTTTCAGGTTCACAGCTGAACCTTCAGATGTCTTCAATTCACATCCACAAATCCCTCAACAGCTGAGCTAAGAAGAATAAAGGGAACTACTATCAACTTGGCATTACAGATTCAGATTAAAAATAATTGAACATGTAAAACCTTCTGGCATAAAAAAACCACTTACCAGGATCCAAATGAATGGCAGCAAATGGAAGAGCTCTGAAGCAGATGAATAGAACAAAAATACAGCAACAATGAAGCCAGCAAAGAAAGAGGTAGTTACGACGAGGGGTAAGGACTGGACTTCAAGGTCCAGAACAAAAATAATGCCTGCAGTCAGTGGAATGTCAGAGCCCCAGTCCAGACCTTTTATGGCCAGGGGGATGCTATAAATATAGCATGGAAGAGGGAGAGAGACAGAGACAGATACCGATACCCTGTACTATCTCTGTGCAAAGACATGGTGACAGCAGCTTCAAACTAAAGGAGATACAGAGTTCTCCCCTTAAAATATCCTCACTAAATTCTGAATAAAATCAGCATTCCACTTCAAAATTATTTCTAGGATTTTTTTTTTCCCTAAGTAAAACAAAATTAAGAAGAAAAAAAAAAAAAATTGTGTCATGAACCAGAAACTAGGAAAGACCAATGCCTGTGTTGACCTTTGCTCTGGTACAAGAATTTGAACATTTTATTGGTTCTTTTTTTTAATGCCAAACCACAGTACAGGTAGTATAAATATTTCAGCTTAATGACAGACAATCTATCAAGACTCTCTAAAGTCATATGAGTTACATTTGAACAGAAATGTATTTTCTTTGTTCTGTTGACAGTGTTACTTTTTTATCGTCTTCTTTAAGATAAAATGCTAAATTAAGAACATGACCACATGAGGCATTTAAGTAGATATAAACAATGCAGCTCTAAAATCTGACTTTTTGTTTCTAAATTAAGCAGTATTACCTCTAAGAATAATTAAATGGGCTTGTCTTCTTCCATTTTGGTCCCAGCATTCTGGCATAAAAATGAGTAATCTGTATGGCTGAATATTACATCAGAATGAGTTCTGTCATCTGAGATCTAATAGTAGGAATGCAGTGTGACTTCATTGTAAATACAATTTATCTCTGCACTGTAAATTATCTTTAAATAAAAGTGATGAGTGCATTTTATTTTGTTCATTTGCATTAACCCTCTCAGTTCTGCTATAGCTTCTTTTCACACTTGCCATAGAACACAACCAAGAACTTTCCAGATCCTCCTGTTCTCCTAGCACTGTCCCCTTTATGGGTGTAACCACCAGAAGATGGTCTGGATAAGGCTAGAGGACCCCAGGCTTTTCTCTACAATAGTTCATCAGTACCTTCTTCTTCACCTCACTGTCTTGATTCTACATGCAATCCCTTCGTTGTCCCCACTAGCTACTTGTTCCCTGGGGAGCCACTGCCTCCTGCCTGATGCTCCACCATGCAGTAAGTTCAGAAGCCTCTTTACCTCCCACACCAGGAGCTGCTCAGGTGCACCAAACTTAGGGGCTTTTGGTTTTTGATCATGAGGACAGAAACCACGGCCAGCAAAAAGCTGTGCAGTCATAGAAACTGTATTGTGGCTCAGGAAACTGCCCAAATCTGCAACAGTCAGAGTGAAAAATGGGAACCTTAATGCAAGCTTTTCTTCCCCCAGAATACTGTGCCAGGAGCAGCGCCACTGAGCTATAGGTTCCAGGCTATAATGTATATTTTTAGTTAGAGTAGATGGAACCTCAGGGGACATACTCCTGGATTGAAGTACAAACCCTGATCCATTCCTTCACCATGGGTCATTTGCACTGATATTGTAGAAGTCTTAATGACAGGCAAATTGCTTTTTAAGAATACAAGAAAATGGAGAGAAATGAAAGCAATTAAATATCACACTTCTCTGCTTTAATTGCAAGACAATCTGTACAGCTCACATGTGGGGGATAAAAATCTGAACAACATTTTCAGTATTTTTGTAAGGCACAATGGCACTATGAAGTCCAATACAGTTGTCAAATTCTGTGCTGCCTCCATTTATTCTGTAAATAAAATGGAGATATAGTGTAACAGCAAAATATTTAGTATTATTTTGCCCCTTAAATTTACACAATTTCAGATCTAGCTTTATTATGAGATAATATCCACAGCTAATTTCAAATCACTGAACTCCTATTTGAGTATCAAAGTACATATTTTAAATCACTTGGAGCTCTGCAAGCCTCAGAATCCCTGCAGCATTCTATATCCACATGTATTTAGTTACATTGGGCTTGGGAGAGACACCCTTAGGAAATACTAGTTCTGTCTTCTCCTAATTAGAACTACATAGTGCTAGAGACCAGTTTGTTTTTCTGTATGGTAAAGATATTCATTAATTTATATTATATTAATTTAGAGCCCAACATGACAAAACAAAAACCTTTCCAGACTGTCACCTGAAGTTTTGAGAGTTATAGCATCCTGTAGCTGTGGGCATAAGTCAAATTCCACATCATCCCAGTCCATCTCTTTCATTTGAGTTTAATCTTAAATAAATCTAGCAAAACAATTTTTGGAGAACAGAGGCTTTGAGCATGTGGGTTGTCTTCTGGAGTTTGCTTTCAAACTTGGGTCTAGTTTTCTGAATTGATTTTTATCAAGAAGAAAAATTGCTTTAGGAAGATCTGCTATTGTCCATTATACTCCAACTAGGCATATTCATAACCCACTGAAGGGAAGGGAGGACTGTGTTCCCTACCTTCACCCATAAGAAGATATTAATATCCAGGCTTCTGTTGATTCTCTGCATCACTCTCAGCTCATATATTTAACAAGGAGTCAACCTTTTAACAGAAGGATCTGACTGCAGCCTACAACAGCTTGAGTGTCTGGGCTCACACCTGAAGAACCAAGTACAAGACCACTGTCTCCTTGATATGGGTAGAAATTTTTCCAAATCCTCTCAAACTATTGACTGCTGGTGCCTAGATCAATTTTTCATAATAGAGAAATATTTGCCTTACCATTATTAGCAACATTTATTCTGCAGCGTCTCTCTGGAACTGGAAATGTCACATAAAAATGTTCCTGCTAACAGCATTTCTTTTCCTTTGTAACATTAAAAAGGTTTCTGTCCATAATAAAACCTTACCTCAAGAGCATATAGCAGATTATTCCAAAAGAAAATTATTATAATTTCTTTAAGTAAGTGCTTTTGGCACTTAGATTTTTTTTTAATCCCTAGTATCTCCTGTCATCTTAACTTTCATATCAAAACAGATGGTTGTCAAATGTCCTCCCACATTTTATCATTCTTTCCTAAACATCACAGATTTTTCAATACCTTTATTCCAATAATGATGGATAGTTGTTAATATCATTGTTGTATTTTGCTTTGTACCTTGGAAAGACTGGCCAAAACACCTTGACACATGATTGCTGAAGGACCAGAGCTGTACCTGGTAACTGTTATCTGCAACTGCAGATAACTCAAACCCAGAAAACTTGACTGAGGCACAATATCTGAGCTCCTGCCACTTAGGCATGCAGCTTTTAGAAGCAGGTAATATACTTCAAAATATGAGTTAAATAGTTTAGGCAGGATACTGACCAAACAGAGGTGCCCAGTGTCTGGGACTGGGGCAGTGGGATGGGCACTGACTGCCAGGTCCTGATAGAGCCTGTGGGGAGCTCCAGTGGCCCCTGGGGGAGCACTAAAACCAGTGACTTTATAGTGACTGTCAGCCCCATTTCTGTTATCCATAGCCCATGTAACTGAAGTATGTCATTATAAAGAAAACAATCTGTAGATATCATTTTACTGCAGTGTAAACTACTATTGCAATAATACAAAGCAATTGCTTCAGATATTACAATAATCATTTCCACAATCATTCAGGCACAGCCAACACAAATGTATCCACTACACAAGCACATTTTTCTTTTTTTTTTTTTGTCCTCACATTAATTGATGAAATACTTTTGAATTAATCAAATGATTATTTTAAAAGGATAGTGGCTATGTCTTAATAGAAGAAACAAATAGTTTTAGCTCTTTAGCCATCACCCTTGGAAATTATGTCTGATATAACAATTAGGCTCAAACAATTGAACAAAGTTTTGAGAAGTATTTGCATCAGAAATTCATACATTGCTTTATTCAACACTCCCCACAGGAAAGACCTTCAAATTTCAAACATCAATCATGAGTAAGAAAGTTTTCTAGAAATTGGTGGTGAATGCAAAACAACCTGATCAAGACAAAGAGGTGAACATTAGACTGTTTAGTATTTAAAGAAATTAAGGAGGTACACTGAAGAACACAAGGAACTGAGATTAGGATCTGATGGGTGGACATGCAGGTCAAAGATAATTTTGGTGATTATTTCCCAGGTGTGATTTAACTTTAAATGAAGTCATTCAAACATAAACAGCATAGTCCAAACACCAATTGATTACGAGACAATTGCCAAACCCACCAGGACTTCACAAATATTCAGAGTTAATCAAATTATTTGAATAGTTTTTTTCAGTAACTTAAAAAATCTGCTATAGCTAGTGACTTCAGACTTCAGTGCAGTTATATTTCACAAAGGCAGCTGTATGTTTAACTCTGAAATGGATTAATCCTGATTTTTATGTAATGGGCCAATACTCTGGTTTCTCCATCCATGCTGTAGGACAAGGTCTTTTTTCCTTTCTGAACAACTTTAAGTTTGGAGACTCAACAAAAGGGACTGGCATGAACTAAAATAAGATGCTTCAAAGATTGGAGGGCAAGATTGGTTTTCTGTCTGATGATGGTTAGTATTGGATAGTCAGGAAAACAATCAAGAAATCAAAGTGGACAGGTTTTCAATATCCTTTCCAGGGGATGTTTCACCTTAACCTCTGTTGCTTAACTAGTTTATTATCTTATAGCTCAAGTGACTTATAGGAGAAGTTGTGGTGGCTTAACAAAGCCCTTTATTAAAAAAAAAAAAATTACATAGCTGTTTACAGTAAAATTCTAGAATTCAGTATAACACTATACCTACAGATGATAGTTCAGCCTTTACTTACTTCCTGAAAATCAACTGGGATTTGCTTATTTTATCAACTGTTGAATATTTCTAGTTCCTCATTTGTCTTTTTCTTGCTATAGCTTGTTCCTGGCTTGTCGCCCTGATTCTTAAGATTTTCTAAAGCCTTCTGAGTTTACATTCTGTTGGAGAACTTTCCCACACAATTTCTATAAACAACATATTGTTTTGCATTCTTTTATGGGGGTGGAGAAACTTGATGTACTAGTGGTTTGTACAATGTCTTTGGAGAGGTGGCCCATT